CCTGACTAATATGATGAAACCCCATCTCTACTAAAAATACAAAAATTAGCTAGGCGTGGTAGCGTGCACCTGTAGACCTAGCCTGTAGCCTAGGAGGCTGAGACAAGAGAATTGCTTGAACCCAGGAGGTGGAAGTTGCAGTGAGCCGAGATCACGCCACTGCACTCCAGCCTGGGCGACAGAGTGAGACTGTTCAAAAAAAAAAAATGTAGGGTCAACATTATTGAACACTAGATTTTCCCATATATTAATAATTCTTCTTATGGTGAAACATTTTCACTCAAGAATAAACAGGTTACTGAATTGAGAGAGACAGCAGAGTGCAGTGGCTCATGCCTGTAATCCTAGAACTTGGAAAAGTCAAGGCAGGCATATCCCTTAAGCCCAGGAGTTTGAGACCAGCCTGGACAGCATGGCAAAACCCTGCTGCTACAAAAAAATACAAAAATTAGCCAGGAGTGGTAGTGCATGCCTGTAGTCCTAGTTATTCAGGAGGCTGAGGTAAGAGGATTGTTTAAGCCTGGGAGGTGGAGACTGCAGTGAGCTGAGATCACGCCACTACACTCCAGCTTGGGTGAAAGAGTGAGACTCTGTCTCAGAAAAAAAAAATGTGATAGTAGTAATAATAATAATGATAGTAAACAATATTAATAGCTAACACTCAATACACTATGTGCCTGGCACTTTTCTAACTGCTTTTTATGAATTGATTCTTCTAATCCTCACAACCCTATGAGGTAGGTAGTACAGTAAAACCATATGAATTAAAAATAACTAGAATGAATTATAAATTAATACTAAAGAATTATTATTTTCTATATACTATTAGAATTTAAATCTAGACTCCAGTGAAACATACAAACCAACCACATGAATTTATTTCCTCTACCTCCAAACCACCGAAAAGACATTAAAGGAATACAAATGGTATTAAACCATAAAGAGAACAGACTACAAAGCCATGAGATTTTAACAAAGTTTATACAGATAAAAACCAGGAGGAAGTGTGATACCTAACCTAGCAGAGTGGAGGAAGTTAAAGCCTAAGTACCCAAAAGGGAGAAACCAAAAAACACACTCCACCAAACCTCTACTAAGTTCAGGAGTTGGAAGCACTAGGTATTGTAGAAGATGAGAGTGAGGTATAGAGCTGAAATCAGGACTAGAAGTCTGTATAAAGAACAACTGGAACCCAGGTCCTCTCCCTGACTCTCCACAGCCAGCCTACCCGCCACCCTCAACCTCCACTGACAGGAAAAACTGAACCTGAGGGTCAGCAGCCAGAGGAGGATTTGCGGGGTGGGGCCGGATGGGCCTGAAAGAAGCTGAAGATAGAAGGATTAAGCAAAAGTCATCATACAAACCTCAGCTGTCCTTTTCTTACCCTACTACCAGGACCCAGTTTTCTAGAGAAACTGGCCCCAAAGAGAAGACCTCCACTGAAATTTAGGGGGCCTCAACAGAAAACGCCAACAACTCTCTACCTGATGGCCCTTTAGACAACTTATAAACCCTGCCCACACATAAAGACCTATGACATTAGCTTTTTAATACATGACTAATATGAATAGATGATCTCTAAGAAAGGCTTCAGAATGAAAGAGCTCAAAACAAAGAGAAAATAGAAACATGGCGGGGGAGGAGGAGAACCATTCAAGAAACAGGAAAGATGTAAGAAAAAAATCTTAATTTTATCCTCAGGGAGATACAGGGAAACATTTAATCTATAAAATAAAAATTGGTTTTTATGAAATGAAACAGAAAAAAAAGACCTCTTAGAAATTAAAATATATATAAAGAAAATTCAACAGAAGAGCTGGAGGATAACAAAGGACAAAGATAATATAACTTAAGGAACAACTAGAGAGAAAAAGCTTTTTTAATTTAGAGGAGGTCCAACATTCAAATAACAGAAATTCTAGAAAGATAGAACAAACAAAATGGAAGAGAGAAAATTGTCAAAAATACACACACACACACACACACACAAACCCAAAACTGAAGCAGACAAATCTCTAAATTGAAAGATTCCACCACGTGCCCATCAAGATGAATGAATAAAGATTCACATATCATTATGAAACATCAGAAGTAATGAGAAGTTCCTAAAAGCTTGCAGAGTGTAAAAACAGATCCCAGGGAAAGGAACGGTATCAGAATTCTCACAGAAAAATTAAATGCCTTAAGAGAATGAAGTGTTGCCTTTACAATTCTGAGGGAATGTTATTTTTCAGACTCCAAACTACCAATCAAGAGTAGAGACATTTTCAGACCTGTAAAGCCTTAAAATCTTTACTTTCTATGCACCTTTTCTTGGGAAGTTACTGGTGGAGGAGCTTTGCAAAAAAAAAAAAAAAAGGAAAAAGGCAGTAAATCTAGAAAGAAGTTACAAGATCCACAATGGAAGATCTAATGTGAGACTAAAAAACAAAGGGAGTTTCAGAATGACAGCTGAACCATGGAACAGGCCTGGAGGGCAACAGTACAAATGGCAGAAGATGAAGGACTGTGGAAGAAATGTCCCTAAAGGATGACAAAATATTTTTTAAAACTTTTTTAAATAAAGGGAATTGATAGATTATCTGATATTTTTCAGCATTTAAGTCTTTTGGATAGTCATTGTGACGGGTACATTAAAAACTAAGCAAATTTGAAAATCAGGCAATACCAACCCCAGAAAAAATAACATTCTAGTAAAAAGGAAATAATGATAGTTAACCATGTGGTACATCAGTGAACTACATTTATGTCTATTTAACAAAAAGTTTGTTCTAACAAGAAGTTGTGTGAATATAAATCTATTTTGGGAGGGGTGGGGGAAGAAAAATGGGGAGGTGGAGATTTTAAGTTAAGTAAATCCTGTCTACCATAAAAGGCATTCGAGAAACTATTTCTGAAATTGGTAAATCAAGAAAAAGTGGTATAACATTTTCAAACAGGAAGGTAAATACTAACACAAACCACTAAGAGTTCCAAGTGTTTGTCTTTGGAATGCTAAATTGGGGAAGAGGGAACTAAACTTTTTCACTATAAACCTTTTAGTTCTATTTGATTTTTTCAAACTATGTACATTAATTAGTTTAATAAAAAGAAAGCTAAAATTGAAAAAAAAAAAAAACAACAGAATTTCAAGTTAAGAATTCAACATGAATTCAAAGAGAGGATTGAGGAGACAGAAAGACATGAACAAGAAGGCCTATCTACCAGCTACCTACCATTCATTTACCCGCCAGGGTTATTAAAAGAGAGACCTCCTCAAAGGAGCTCCTGCAGCCTCATGTGGCTTTCTTTCAGGCCAGGACACTCCCTCTGCACCAAGTAACCAGAGCAAGGCTCAAAGTACAGACCTCATTAAATAAAAGAACTAGCGGAGTCCAAATTAATGGTATTATCACGTATATGGAACTAGTCTAAACAGCAGTCTGGTATTAACATATTACAAGGACATATTTCCTGAGATCTTGTTATGATTTTTAAATTTCTAAATGTGATAATACATACTGAAAAACTACAATTCAAGGTCAAAGGTCAAAGGTTCCAGGGCATCTGTGGAAATAAAGATACTCTATCTCCTGCCTTGGAATTTAAGTTTAAGCAATAGCATCCATTTCTGGACTCTTCCTGACTGAAGATCATGCCATAATCCCGTATGATGTAAGAAAATTCAAATTCAGCTCATTTATAAAAGAATTGTATCAAAATCCCTTTAGTCATGGAGGCCTGTGATTCCCAAAGAATAGTGAGCAAGCACTTGAAATGAAAAACAAGCACTGCTTTTGCTTAGACGATCACTGATACGCTGCCAAGAGAACCTCCAAATTTCTCAACAACTTTTCATGTTTTTCAATAACCCCATGACCTAGACAAAGCAAAAATGGGACTACTAATAACTAATAATAACCAATAATTTTTCTATAAAGTATAGAACAACTTGACAAGCTAAAATTCTTACAGAATTGTTATTTGGTTCATCTTTTTCTTAAAGTTCAAAAAAGGCACACTGGAAAATAAAGGACTCCTCAAAATGCAAGGTTCCCTTAAGCTTTATAGGTTTCTTCATGCTACTAATTCACTGATCAAAACCTGGATATAATTAAAGATATGTTTATACTCCCACAAAATAAATGATTTCACATATGTTTTTGGTTCCTAACAATAACAACAAAGAGTGGCTCCAACTCATAACAAAAGACATACTTAGGGATACTGCAAACCTGTTCAAGGACCTGTTTCAAGGGGGAAAAAATGATACAAACCAGAAATAATTGCATTGTATTTTTTAAATATTTACAGAAAACTCTTCACGAACCCATCTATTTGGATAAAGCAATAGAAAATGGCTGTGACTGTTTTCTATAAGTTCAAAAGCTTGTTATGGTGTTTTCATTATAAACCTATTACTTCAAAAAAACTCACTACCAGAAAAAACTCCCGATCAATAGCACCCTGACCTTCATGGTCTTAACACTGTGCAAGTTCTTACTACAAAATAAAAAATAATAATAATAATAATAAAAAACTTGATTACCTGCTCAACATTATAACTTACTACATTATCAAACTTTTTTTTTCAAATTAGACATATGAAGTACAACTCATGAGCAGGAAAAGACTCCACTGAATATAAAGTAGTCTGATGACCTGTGTGCTATTTAAAATTACAAACACTTTAAGTAGCATAGAGTTTACCCAAACACATATTAATGTATAGACTGTTTATGTCCATTTTAAACTTAAGATGGAAGGCCTATAATTACAGTTTTTTAAATAAATACCAAATATTAATTATTTTTAAATATCCCACATAAACTTACAAGAAGAATTGAAATAAAATGAAATAGGCCACACCATTCTAAGCTCACAGGCAACAAAAACTAAAAGCAATCATTTGTGTCTTCACCAGCAGGCCTAAATATACAAACTCAAATCCATTAGAATTATATTAGTGCCTAATAAAGATTAGACAGAATATCAATGAATATAAAAAATACAATGTATTATATGATGTGTTTGAATGCAAAAACCACACATTTATTAAACATATGATTAACTTAAAAACAACACACCAGTTTGTTTTAAAGTGCTCCTTCACCAAAACCTTAAAAAAAACTATTAACCCAAAGTGAATTCAAAACAACCGATTACAAGGCAAACAATGACAATAGGTATAGACAGGCACTACCAAAAAATGCTATTTGTTCTTTAATTAAATAATGCCATTCTCAAGTGATATAGAGCAGTCATCTTGACAGAATTCCTTTTTGTATAAATATTCATAAATAAAAATGTCTCTAGACATTGGAAAGAGCTGCAAACAATACTTTACAACAGCAGCTTAATGTCTATTTTAGGGAAAAAAAAAGCACTAAAATCCTCTTCCATTGAAAGTTGTTTATTTCTCTGGTGTAAGTGAGCAAAGTCACTATAGCATTAAAATCTCTTTTCTAGAACAATGTAAAGAACAACGTATACACATCTTAAATTTGGTAGGTCACAAAAGTTAGAATGCAATCATCTTTTGAGGCAACAAGAAAATAAATAAAAATTAAACACTTTAACCCAACATTTGGAATGACAAATCAGTAGTGTCAACTTCACATATGAAGGACAATACAGTCTGGTTAAAGATGTTCAATATGTCATGGTAATTGGGCTAAAGATACTTAAAATATTGTGTTTCCTTTTTGATTAAAGGAATATAATACAATCACCATCAAGCTGCTATCGTAACTCATTTTTAGCTGTGGTAAAGTGACCATTTGGTCCATGGCACAAGTTACATATATCACACTTCTGTCAAACTGAAACCTTATAAGATTTCATGTTTATAAGCTACAATACACCCTGACCAAGCTGTCAGTCCTCTCACAGTTTTTTAGAAAAATATCTACATTTGTCCTTATGGATGTCAAAATGTTACACCATCATTTGTTTAAAAAAAAAAAAAAAAAAAGATGCACATTCATACTGTGAGTTATTAGGAAAATACTCTTGCAAACAAACTATATAAAGATAAAATACACTTCAAAAGTATGTGGTTTGTTTCCTTGTCTGTTTTACAATATTCTATAAAGTGCAGAGTCCTAAGGGAAAAAACTACTCCCTATAACAATAGTTTAATTACAGCAGCTTTTGCATAGCAATACTTAGAGGAAGTTGGACACTTCAGTTTCTTCAGGAAGAGAAGGATGGAAGAGTATCTTCCGATTCAGATTTTTTTTTGGCCATAAGTCTGCTTTCTTCAGGAATGGTTGCTGATGCCAAATCTCCATTAAGTGTATTTTTTGAACAGTGAACAGGTCCTATGAAGACATTGGTAAAAACATTAAACATCCTGTCAATATTAACTCCAGTCCTCCGTGAAAGAACATTTTAAATTTCCTATTCAGGGACATGAAATTCCTTTAGCTTCCTGCTAATTTTTTATTTCCTTGTTTGTTTCATACAGGAAAACTTAACTTTTAGAGTAGAGTATCAACAGTCAAAAGGAAAAACATCAGAATTCATGGGATAAATGACGAAACTGCCTGAAGTAGAGATTTTTGTTTTGTTCATTGCTAGAATCACGGTTGGCACATAACAAGCAGTCAATAAATATCTGCTGAATTGAATTTAATCTTTATTAATTAAATATTGCTCTTTCAGCCTATTTTAATGCTGTTAATATCCTTCTTGTTCCTAGGCAAACAAACCAAGACCCATAAAAGGATACACGCCCTACCCAACATCACACAATTGGTAACAGAACGAGGACTAAATTCAGGTATTCCTCTTTTCATTCTAAGACTTTCTGAGCAAAGCTGACAAGATACCTCACACTGAAAGATCCCATTTCTCCATTTGTAATGCAGCTCACAGAACTATCACTGCAGCTCCATGTTAACACAGCTGACTACACTGGCATAGTCCTGTTCTAAGGCAGTTGTACCTTTATACACATTGTTTGAGTTTACCATCATCATTTATTACTTTCATACTTTTTGAAAAAGCTTGTTTAGAAAAATAGAAACAGTTGCATCTCACAAGAAGAATATTTTTGAGTAACAACTTTCAACCAAAACTGCCAACTGCAAAATATATACTTTCTAGAAGGAGCACTAATTCAATCTTTGCTTTGTCAGCTAATTGAAACACTAAACTAGTATAAACAGGAAAAACTCTAAGGATAAAATTTCTGACCTAGTCTATACTTGCTAATTTAAAGATGTTCTAGAGAAGTGAACTATATGTATGCATGTATATACGTGTGTGTGTGTGTGACTAGTTTTGTTACAGTCCATAACAGTTAAACTGGGGGATGCTAAATACAATGAGCATGTCACCTAGATCTTTTGAAAATTGTTTTCAAATATTCAGGACTAGGGTAACGAGAAGGAAAGAATTCTAAAGAAAAATGGATGACTTTAAAAAAGTTATTTTAGTAATCACAAATGATCCTCTTAAAAAAAAAAAAGTCACACTTAAAGAAAAGTACAAGGTAGCATACAGAACTCCTTCATGAACTCTGGATTAAGAGTCATGTGTAAAAGGCATAAAGAATAAAGAGAATCAGAATCTATCTTACCTGCCTCAGATAACACTTTTTTCACATACTCAACCTCTTTAACCCTCCTTCTCTCCTCCTCTTCTCTTCCAGGTCTTGTTTGATTGGCCCAAGAAAGTTTCTTTCTCCCTTCCCCTTCCCGGTTTCCTTCCTTAATTTCTCTACCCATATCTCAATTTAAATTCAAAATGTTAATGAGCATAGAATAGTGCCATATATTAATAAATAGATGATTAGTTCGGTTAAAAAAAAAGTGAGCATTAAAAAAAAAAAAAAAAAAAAACAGATTTTATCACTCCTAAAAATCCAAAAATGACCAGCAATCCTTTTTAAAATTGCCATGTGTGTGAACTAAACCTGTTTAACTTTCTGGTTACATAAAACAACTCCAGCTTAATCAATGTTTTCAATACACTCAAATGCTAGAAATACACCATTGTTTTGTCCCATTTCAGCCATACTATGAATTCACTGGGTTCTTCTAGGCTATTCAAAGAGCTAACCACCACTTATCATGTCAGTTCCACAAGAAAAATAAAATCTGTTTTCCAAACAACTGACTTACAAATGAACTACTGGAACACAACCTGTTCCTTAATTGGAAATTGTACATAGTTTCTATCCCACATGTTTCCTGAGAAATAGTAAAGACTTGGAGAGTAGAAGTCTATTAATAGAGATGTAATAATAAGACTATATTTGTGTTCACTGCAAATCATGGTCACTACTATCTTACTAGATATTCTGACACACTTTCAAAGCTTCTTCTCTGAAGAGAAAAATTTAAAAATTTTAACATAAATCACAAAACCTTTCCCAAAAACATTCAATCACAGTATGCTGCCTCTTTAATAAGAAAAAGGTACAGGAATGAATGCTACTATAATTCACCATGACTACCAGACAAAATTCTTTTCCTTAGCCATTTCAAGGTATTTTAGTAAAGTAACAATGCTGACTTTTATATGAACTTGGAACTTGCCTTTATTTTCCCCTAGAATCCTGCTAACAATTCATGCCTTCTTCTGAAATGTTTTTTAAGTGCAAGTATAGTGGTGGTAAAAGATCATGATATTCTATAAATATATATCTAAGATACGATATTTACAAAGCAATCCTCAGCACTCCTTAGTTAATAACAAACCTGTTTGTAAGAGGATATATGAGTTTTCATTGATTGAGCGCTGTTTGCTTACCTCTGAATGAAGGAATCAATCAAAGAAACAAAGTACAATGTTCAATGTCAGTATACTTCATTTTCAGAAATTACAGAGTCCCACAGTAATTTTGCTGAATATGCCAAAGAAAGAGACAGAACCTATGCCACTTACTATCTGGGTCTTCAAGAGGAATATCATTACAAGAATCTGTATCTGAGTAGGTTCTTCGGCGTCGCTGGGAGAGTCGGTGAAGTGTAGATACTGGTTCTTTTATAGAGTGGCTACTCCTGCAAATTAAATAAAAAGCATTAAATTGTAAGGCCTTACATAAATAAAAACACCCTCGACTGGAATTTTAAATGACTTCTCTTTAAGTGAAAAAAGAATTATTTTTATGCTCAACGTCCCATGTTAGCAACATTCTACTCAGAAGTCAAAAACAAGTGAACCCATTTAGAAGACAGCTGGTAACCTGAAGAATATGGCTTCTGAGCTGAAATAAAAGGAAGAGGGGTATAATGAAGAAGTAGTGACTTCTGTAGGGGAGACTCCAGAGAGCAGACATATCAGTCGGTTTATAAATGTTTGAAAACTAAAAGTTATAGGTTTCATTAGTGCATGTATTTCAAGTCAATCCATATCTGACCAAAACCAGCAGACTGAAAGAAATGGGCAAGGAGTTCATAGAGCTAGAGGTAGACTCACTCACAACAGCAAGAGAAGATAAAGATGGCAAGGGGCCTAGAAAAACTTTTTTAAAAATCTGCCTCAAAAAATTAAACAGAGAAGCAAATCACCACCACCTAATAGCACCTCCGCTACTATTTTTGTAACAGCCCAACATTACTGTACTTAATGACAACCTTGATTCATCAGGAAACAAATAAGATTTTAAAATTATTATTTTGTGAAGTAGAAAGGATAGAAAACTTTCTTTCATAAAAATAAAAGTTGATTAAGCTTCCATTTTTCTGGAAAATTCAGTTGGTGGGACTCTTGATTCCCTGACAAAGTTGGGCATATACATCATTGGACTCCTCTGAGTATTTGACGGTTTAATCAAAGATTATATAATCATCAGGGGAAAAAATTAAAACATGACAAAACAATAAGGACCCAGCATTTAACAGTGCAAATATAGAGAAATAAATGCTAATGTCACTATAATTAAATCACTTTCCAAAGAACCAAATAAGACAATCATAGCAACTTAAAGGACTATTACCTAACAAAATAATAGTTTAACAACTTAGCATTTTGGTAAGATCTATCCAGAAGGTAAGATTTTTTAATGTATTGATATGAATAGGTACTTTAAAATATCAAGTGGTTTCTCTTTTCAGCAAGATCTTTTTCTCTTAATGAAATAACAGCTCAGCATGAATAGTTGATGCTATAAACAGTTGAGGTAAAATGAGCCCCAGCTGTGGAGTCTTAATACATCAAAAATGTACTTCTGTCTAACTATAACTTGATATACAGTCATGCGTCTCTTAATGACAAGGATGCATTCTGAGAAATGTATCACTAGGTGATTCTGTCACTGTGCAAACATCACAGAGTGTGCTTACACAAAGCTAGCTAGTATAGCCTACTACACACGTAGGCAATGTGGTATAGCCTATTATTCCTAGGCTACAAACTTGTACTGCATGTTACTGTACTGAATGCTGTGGGTGACTGTAACACAATGGTACATGTGTATCTAAACATACCTAAACATGGAAAAAGTACAGTAAAAATATGGTATTATAATCTTATGAGGCCACTGTCACATATGCAGTCTATCATTGATGGAAAAGTCATTCTTCAATATATGACTGTATTTCAAACATCTAAAAAAAGTAAAATGGCTGGCAAGGTGCTTACCTTGCTGGTTAATTAATTAATTCATTTTTTTTTATGACTACCTACTGAGGCCAGGCCCTTATACTAAATACTAGGAGATAAATACAGAGAGATAAAATGCTGGTTTCAGAATCAGACCTAACCCATACAGAGTTTACATTCCACATCACTTGTTAAAGGCCCAGAGAACTTCCCTAAATAGGTATAGTTTGAGAGAACTTAATCAAAAGAAAAGGTTCTTTTACCTCTCTGAACTGCAAGAACCAGGGTGGCTGACAGAACGCTTCATCTAGAAATTTTGAAAAAAAAAAAAAAAATTACCATAATCCACATGTCAAGTAGAATCATGCAGCTCTAATTTACTATTATCATAATAAACATAAATTTACTCAGAGAAAAAGATACCTGGCAAAACAAAATTTATCTTTCACAGACTCGAGTAACATAATTAGCACAACATAAAGCTTTCTCTCTAATAACCGTTAACTGGAATCTTTTTCAACACACACCAAAAACATGCTGGATTCTTTTTTCAAAAGTAAAAACCAAATTTTATACATAATATATATATATGAGTGTGTACACAAATATAAAAAACAGGGTATATAACTATAAATAGGATATAAATGTGATAAAAAGGAGTATCTAGCAAGCCAGAAAATATTCTAATAAATATCTCTTTTTAAAGGGAAGTAGTAGAAGAGTCAGGTAGCAAAGCTTCTCTTTACTATTAATTATTTAGGTAGCTGATATACAAATGTTCTGAAGTGTGGTTTTCATGGAAGACAGCATTAATAATTTAAGATTTTAAAGAACTCAGAAGAGCCCTAAGTCTCAATGGATTTCCAAAACATATATTTAAAAAAATAAAAAATACCTAATTAAGCAGAGCATTTAAAAAATATGATAAATACTAAACATAATTTGGAAAATCCAACTACTCCATCAAAATATGAAGGGAGGCAGTCAAGTAAAATTGATTATTTCAAAGTTTAACACGGTAGCAGAAAAACAAAGATTAAACTAAAGGTTTAGGGTGATTGCTTTTGTACACATGAGCCCAAGAGTCTAACAAGCCCAGGTCTAACATTTATGTTATGTAAATGCCTTCTATATTTGGAACATGAGCCACTAGTTGCTCTGAGAAATACCAGTTGAAATGATAAGAGATAAGACCCACCCAATCTGTAGTCTGGGAACATCTGATAAGATTGACATTAAGATGCAAATGGACATTAATATCTCCTTTAACAGAAATTACTTCCTTTAGGCTTACTAACCCAAGGACATCCCCACTATAATAATCACTCAGTCTGTAGGTCCAATGACAGTTGTCTGAACTTTTATGATAACTTGAAATAAAGTTAAATGCAAGTTTACTCTAAGATGGATTCATTGAGATTAACTATATAAAGCGCTCATAAAGATCAGATTAAACTGTTTTGGAATACTCAAATTTTCAGCTTTATTTTTCATATAAATAAATGTAATTTTTTCATATAAATAAATAAATAATGTTATTTAAAAAAAAAAAAAAAAATGAAGACTGTCTGACCTCACTTTCCATGCTATTTGTCTCTAGAACTATTACATAAGCCACAATTCTTGCTCTTTTTATCAAGCAAAATGGCATAGCTAGCAAAAATAAGCAGCTTCTAATATTTCCTAAATTAATGTATTAGATTTCCTGTAATTTTTCTATTGAAGGTTTTAGCTTTAAAAAGACAATTATTTTAGTTTCTTATATGTAAAATACACATATGACTACTCTGGACTAGAGAGCATTTATAACATAAGGGATTTCCTGAGAAGTTCAATGCGGAAGCAAGGCAACTCTGAAGTTTTACTGCATTTGACTCTAAAAAGTACAGCTGTAAAAACAAAAAAGTGTACCCTTTGCATATCAACCTCAGGAACACAGCACTATACATCCATCTCAAAAGACTGGTTTCTTTGTTCACATATACACGTTAATTAACAGTTTATAGCATATCTACAATTGTCCTAAAAAGCAACATGGTCAAACTATGTTTTACTCAACACCACAGTCCTGTAAAATGGTATTAAAAAATACATAAAAAGGGTCAGGCACAGTGGCTCACGCCTGTAATCCCAGCACTTTGGGAGACTGAGGTGGGCAGATCACGAGGTCAGGAGATCCAGACCATCCTGGCTAACATGGTGAAACCCTGTCTCTACTAAAAATACAAAAAATTAGCCAGGCGTGGTGGAGGGCACCTGTGGTCCCAGCTGCTCAGGAGGCTGAGGCAGAAGAATGGCATGAACCCGGGAGGCAGAGCTTGCAGTGAGCCAAGATTGCGCCACTGCACTCCTGCCTGAGTGACAGAGTGAGACTCTATCTCAAAAAAAAAAAAAAGAAAAAGAAAAAAAAAAAATATATATATATATATAATGGGCTCAATTGTCAAATAAATTTCAGAAATACTGTACACTACACCTCCACCTCTCAGAGATTCATAATATACTTCAGCATAAAAGAGGGTGTGAAAAGCATAAAAGCTGGGCATGGTGGCTTATGCCTGTAATCCCAACACTTTGGGAGGCTGAAGCGGGAAGACTGCTTGAAGCTAGGAGTTTGAGACCAGCCTGGGCAACAAAATGAGACCCCATCCCTACAAAAAATAAACTGAAAAACTTAGCTTGAAGCCAGGAGTTTGAGACCAGCTTAGGCAACAAAATGAGATCATCTCTACAAATAATAAGTTAAAAAAAAGTAGCCAGGCATAGTGGTATGCGCCTGTAGTCCCAGCTCCTCAGGAGGCTGAGGTGCGATGATCACTTGAGCTCAGGAGTTTGAGGCTGCAGTGAGTTATGATGGTCAGCCTGGGTGACAGAGTGAGATCCTGTCTCTAAAAAAATAAATAAATAAAAAGGCTGTGACAAGTCCTATCAAACTGTCCTTGTCAGATTAGAGAAACCCAATTCATATCATTTAAGTTAACCTAGCAATTCCCAAATTAATCTGGCCATAAAACTCATTTTCATGGTACACTTGTCTCAGAGGAAACTATTAGCCCATCAAACACTGATTAGAAAACAATTATCTAAATAAATCTAGGCAATAATCTTTACTAACTCTCATATAACTAAATTTGCTGGGATAGGTAAGAGAACCTAGGAATAAGTTAGACCCTATTCTCCTAACAAACAGATCTTCAGGTAATTGCTGAAACAGCAACAAGGTGGCATTCTTACTCCTATAAATGGACTCCTAAAAACACTTTGATGAAATAAAGTCTCATTATAAAGCTTATCTCACCTACAAGTTTCTCACAGCATGCTAGAGCAAATTTATTAGCTCAGAAAGGACAACAGATCTGCCACCCCTGGCAAAAAGAGGACTTGTTGTTCTGAGTAATGAGGAAGTAAGAAACTAACACTGAGCACCTAACAGTAAGCAGGTCAGATCGTTTGCAGTGACTCTCTGATATACACTGTATTTTTACACATGAAGAAACTGAAGATCAGCTACTCCGAGGGTTCAGATCCAAATAGTGAGTACAAAACACCGTTCCCACTAGACTATGTTTCAAATTCCTTCTAACTCCTTTAAAGATTTACTTAATTGTACCCCATTGTGACTAAAACCTCATTCCGTTGTGTAATTCTTACCAAGCAGAATAGAGCCTCCCAATTTTTTCTCTGTCACAGCACTTTGTAATATTGTCCTAGATACTGGGGGAAATGGATGAAGCAGCCTGTGGGCAGGCCATGCACAGCCCCTCCAAGCGCAAGGAGATAAGGACACTAGCACAAGTGCTGAGCTCATCAGCTGAGAAGCTCTAATATGAAACAGTACAAACAAAAAAATTCAACTTGTTACCTGTTTCCCCGCCACTGCCTGTTTAAGCCCTTAAAAATAAATACCAAAATGAAACAAAAGCCACATGCAACATTACTACTGAAGGAAAAAAACAAAACAAGAAGTTCAAACCATTTGAACAGGAGAAGGTGACACAGGAGAAACTAAGGGATCCGGATGGGGCAGTTGAAACATCTCAGGTTTAAACTTGGCATTGGCTATCTTCACACATTCCTCGAGCGTTGTGATGAACGTGTTACACGTGGCGCTAAGCAGAGAAGAGGCTTCATTCATGTTCTGAAAAATTACACAAAGACTTGAACAGATTTGCATACAACGACATGGAATCATATACAACCTTATCACTAAATAAAAAGACATCTCCAACAGACACATTACTATGTTCAAATTTATTTAAAATACAGTACCTTAGAAAATTAAGCTGGGGCAAAAAAAAAAGAAGAAAATTTAAAAATCTATGAATAAGAAATGCCTGTCTCCTAAACAATGTATGAACCTAGATTCTAAGAAAAACTAACTTTTGCATTGAATTATCATATTGAAAAATCATGTACAAAAATTTATCTTAGAGAAATCTAACCTAAACAGTAATTTTCATTTTCCCAAAAGTGGTCACAGACATGGAATACCCTTAGAATTACTTAGTGGCAGTACAATTCATGTCTACCCTCTATCTGTTCTCCCACTTCTTCCTTGACAGAGTAAAAACCCCAATTTTGTTCAGGATCGCAAAGTGCCCTGATCCTGGGGGATGAATAGAGACTGATCTAAGCTAGTCATGGCTATTCCAAGACTCTTTACCAAATGCTCATTTTTTTCCTGGCTTCCCTTGAGCCAGAAAAAAACAAAGATGAGAAGTCTGCTGGAGAATTTCTGGGATTTTTGTTCCCTGATTCAAAACCAAGCACAGCAAGTTGAGAAGGACTCTCTCCACTCTGGCGGCCCCACTGCCTCCTGCCTCTTTGTGAGCTTGACAGTCATCTTGACACCTGGGGCATTAGGAGAAAAACTCAACACATCAAGAATGGCAGAGTGGAAAATGCAACAAGCCTGGGTCCCTAATACTGTCACCGAGCTGCTGTAGCAAGTGTGAGAGCACCCACCTCCAGGGAGCTTGTGGTCAGTTTGTCCTTGGGCTTCTTACACAAGATTCCTCCCCAACAGGAGAAAGTCACAGAAGAAGAAGATTTCTTGCTGCACTTCTATCAAGTTAGGCAAAAAGGGACAGGCAACATGCTGGCCTTTCACCCAGAGAGTGGTATAGCTCACCAGTCCTATTTTACCATAAAGAATGAGCCTATTATAGCCCGATCCTACTAATCTGAGTTTTGATTCCTAAGTCACTGTTCTGAGAAGGATTTGTTTTAAGTTATTCCATAAAGATAAGTTATCAACTCTCACAGTTGAAGCAGGGACCTTATTACCAAAAAAAGAGAATAGCAGCTGTCCAGTGAATTTATGCCGCTAGCCTAGAGAACAAAGCCTGGAATGCTTCTTCCCCACTCTAACCTCCAAATTATTAGAGTGGCTGCAAAGACAAGCCTTGATCCCCAGAGAAATATGCTACTTCATGTTCTTCTCTGGCCACACAGACAAAACCGAGAAGATGCTACAGATTTCCAGATAGTCTACAGTAGGCAGAACCCAGAAAAGCTGAAAATAACTCAATGTGAAAATGCCTATCATCTTATGGAATGACTGAGGATCTCCCCAGAGCACTCCAAAGCATAACTGCACATGAAGAGATCCTCTTTGCTCTACCTCTGCACTAGGAGATGAATGATTCTCATCATGGTGAACAAATTCCTGTATTGTATGAACTTGCTGCATTAAGAGGTCACAGTAGAGGCGAAGTTCAGACATTTTGGTTTTCAGCGATTCACTGGTTTCACTTATTTCTGAAAAGAACATATATAAATATCCAGTTAGATCATTTTCATATTCTTTGGGCAATGCAACAAAATGTAATCATTTAAAAAAGCAATGAATATAAATACCTATAGCTCAAGAAATGTGAGAACTTGGGAATAGGATACCAGAGCCCTAAGGAAACATCTTCTCTTTAGATAATTGGGAAAAAGCTGACAGTTACATGCCTGCCACATTTAGATGATTTCCAGAGACAGGATGATGACCACTGGATATTTTATACAGGATATTTCCATTCCATTACTCATCTTCCATTTAAATAGTGCTTAGTTTTCTTTTGTGAATTGCTTTTTTATTTTGTCCTTTATACATTTTTTTCCAGCTCTGATGTTGATTTTTCTCTTAGCAATATAAACTGATAGTTTGTAAAAGTTCTTACAAATTAAGACAGTAATCTTTCCTCTATCTTATATACTGCAAATACCTTATCCAGATCTGTTAGCTTCCTTTCAGTTCTCTTTATTTTGGCTTACAGAAGTTTTAAATTTTTATGTAATTAAAACTATTATATATAAACATTCATTTATTTTCTTCTGATCCTTTCAGTTTCATTTTCACATTATACTATTTTCAACATTTTTTATTAAGAGCATACTTTCTTCCTTAGTATCTCCAGACAAACTAAACACCCAGCCATAATCTCAGCCACTCACAAGCCAATACCTTTTAAACTAGAAGTATAAGCTACATAGGAGAAAAATTCGTAAATTTCTGGTGATTCTCCACACTCCCTGGGCCAGGCCCCAGTGGCCTTGCTCTCTGATCCTAGCCACAAAGCCACTTTTGCCAGAGTGGACAAAGCAGCTCTATCTGCCCATTTAATCTAACCTAAATAAATTCCTGCTCACATTTAAGCCTGTTCTTTCTCCTTTTAAAAAAAAAAAAAAACTGTGGTAAAATATACATAAACATAACATTTACTATTTTAACCACTTTTAAGTATTCATTTCAAAATGTGGCATTAAGTACATTTGTATTTGTAAAATCATTACCACCATCCATCTCCAGAACATCTTCATCTTCCCCAGCTGAAGGCCTGTACCCACTAAACATTAACCCTATTTCCACCTCCCCCCGGGCCCTGGGAACCAACATTCTATTTTCTGTCTGTATAAATTTGACTGCCCTGGGTATTTCATATAAGTGGAATCATAGACTATATGTCTTTCTGTGATTAGCTTATTTCACTTACTGTAATGTCTATAAGGTTCATCCACAGTGTAGCATGTGTCACATTTCCCTTCCTTTCTAAGGCTGAGTAACATTCTATCGTATATTTTGTTTATCCATTCATCTACCAATGAACATTTGGGTTATTTCCATCTTTTAGCTATTGTGAATATCCATTCCTTCTTATCCTACCTGTAGCCATATTCTGTAATGTTTTCATATATTTCAAAATTGTTATAAATTCAATCCTCAGCCTTCATTTCTCAATACCTGTAATTTACCTGCTTTCACTAATGTAATGTGTATTTAATTATAAAAGTAACACATACTTAATAAAAAATTTTGAAAAATATAAAAAATATAGAAAACAAAAATCAAACAACTGTACTACGGTCCGAATATGGTTAGTTTCCAGCAAAATTCATGTTGAGGCTAGGTCCCCAGTGTGGCAGTGTTAGGAAAGTAGTACCTCTAAGAAGTGCTTAGGTCATTAAAGAGGTTTCATACCTTCCTCAAAGGAGTGAGTGAGTTCTCAACCTCTTGGAACTACATTATGGGAAATACAGTTATAGTTACTATGAGAGCAGGTTGTTATAAATTGAGGCTGCCTCTTGTGTTTGATCTCTTTCTGCACACGCCCGCATTCCCTTGCTTCCTCCACCATGCTATGAGGCAGCATGAGGCCCTCACCAGAAGCCAACTAGATACAGCTGCCCAATCTTGAACTTCCAGCCTCTAGGGCCATGAGTCATACCTCTTTTCTTTAGAAATCACACAGTCTCAAGTATTGTGTCAAAGCAACAGAAAATGAACTAAGACAAACTATAATCTCACTATCAAGAAATTGTCATTTTCACATTATATCTGTATATAGTTGAACTGATAACATAAATCATTTGCTTTGCTTTCAGTTTCTAAAAATCTTTTTGAATTGGCAATATGCATACATGGTAAAGTCAAAAGATACCAAAGGGTATACAGTGACAAGTGAGTCTCCTTCCCACAAATTCCACCTCCAAAGGTAACAATCTGACCAATTCTTACATACCTTTCCTAAGCCAGCCAATGAATACTAACACTATATATAATTATGAATCCTGCTTTTTTCAATGATCATTTAACCTTGGGCATTTTCTCACACTGAAATTCGTTTTAAACATCTTACTATCTATATATCAGCCAATGAAAGCACGAGTTTAGGCTGGGCGCAGTGGCTCACGCCTGTAATCCCAACACTTTGGGAGGCCGAGGCGGGCGGATCACCTGACGTCAGGAATTCAAGACTAGCTTGGCCAGCATACAAAATTACAAAAATACAAAAATTAGCCAGGCATGGTAGCAAGTGCCTGTAATCCCAGCTACTTGGCAAGCTGAGGCTGGAGAATCGCTTGAACCTGGGAGGCAGAGGTTGCAGTGAGCCGAGAAAGCGCCATTGCACTCCAGCCTGGGCAACAGAACGTGGCTCCATTTAAAAAAAAAAAAAACAAGAAAGAAAAAGTTTATTGAGACATTCCCCTAAATTTATAGCTTTTACAAAATGTTTACTATGATAAAGATACATGTAAATCTACATTTCTAATTATTTCCTTGGGATAGATACTAAAAGTGAACAGGCTATTTTATTTATATTTATATTTAAGAAAGTACTCTCACCACAAGGGAAAAGTTTATAGTTACCTTTTTCTTTTTTAGTCCTTGTGTCAGTCAAACATGCTTTGGAGCTCCCCAGAGCAACCAGCCACCTCTGTCTTTCAGCTGCATTCACTGCCTTCATGTAGAAATGCTGCTCTCCGGGAATGATTAATTCCATTCTTGTGTTGTCTGCTGAATGAACTATGATGAAAAACAAAGAGGAAATACAGTTATAGACTTAAGTAATTTAAGGGGAATCAAATAATCATCTAATCACACAGTATCAGATGCTTCATACACCTAAAACAATGAACTATCATTCATGATGCAGCCAGTGCATCAGTGGCACTCCCCAAACCAACATTCTCATATAGACCCAGGGTGATAATGGTGCCAAAGCGATGACAGAGTATGAAAAAGAAAACAGGGACATACTAACTACTGAGAAGTGAGACTCCCTCACCCACCTTGGGGCCACTTATCATATTAAATACAACTGCAATGAATGTTACACTATCACACATTTTTTACTGATTTCCTTGAAAGTAAAGTCTTTGTTTTCATATCCCCCAAGGCTAGGATAGTGCCTGACACATAGAAGGAATGTAATAAATGACAACTACAGCCACCATCTATCCGAAGAGTAACTCTATGATATGCCCTTAATTATGAATCATAGCATAACACATGGAAGCCATGTATATTTTGAAGACATTCATCTCTTTGCCTCTTTCTACCTCTTCTCCTACACACACACACACACACCTCCTTTGATGCTCTGAGAAAAGAAAGCTAATCAGGAATTATGATGAGCCAATCCCAAGTCTTTGTTGTAAAACAAAATTTGTGTTAAGCTGTCATTCATCAATAAATATTTACTCAGCTCAGAGCAGTGCTAGTAGAAGGCAAGATAGAGGGGGAAAAAAAGATGTCTTTGCTTCTATACAGTTGACTATTTAACCAAGATACAAACAGACACACCAAAAACAATCAGAATACGTATATGTTTAACTCTTTGGTGCAGAGATTTCTTGTGTAATTATGAGAGAAAGTAATTTAAGACAGGAAATTTAAAAGGCTTCAAGAAGAAGGATTTGATGAAAGCAGGATTTGGTTAAGAAAATGAATGAGAAAAAGCTTAAATGAGAAAATAAACACAGAATGTACTGAGAATATTAGGAAACAAGCAAAAATAGAGGCTTCCATTGTAGTGCAAAGTAATATTGATATTTGTTTAGCCAGCACAGTGGTGCAAGCATGCACTCCCAGCACCTGTAGACTCAGCAACTTGGGAGGGAGAAGGCTGAGGCAAGAGGATCACTGGAGCCCAGTACAGGCTGTGGTGAGCTACAGTCACACCACTGCACTCCAGACCGGGTGACAGAGCAAGACCCTGTCTCAAAAAAAAAAAAAAAAGGAAAAGAAAAGAAAAGAAAAAACGCCGGGCCGTGGCTCACGCCTGTAATCCCAGCACTTTGGGAGGCTGAGGCGGGCGGATCACGAGGTCAGGAGATCGAGACCATCCTGGCTAACACGGTGAAGCCCCGTCTCTACTAAAAATACAAAAGATTAGCCGGGCAGGCTAATTAGTAGTGGCCAGCGCCTGTATTCCCAGCTACTCGGGAGGCTGAGGCAGGAGAATGGCGTGAGCCCAGGAGGCAGAGCTTGCAGTGAACTGAGATCGCGCCACTGCACTCCAACCTGGGCGACAGAGTGAGCCTCGGTCTCAAAAAGAAAAGAAAAGAAAAAAAGAAAAAGAAAAAAATGTATATTCATGAATGGATAAGTTGGGAGGAGCCAAATTATGAGGGTCCCAGCAAACTCTGGCAGAAGCCCCAACTTATATAATTAATTGCTATAAATATTGACCAGATGTTTAGTCTATTATGGTGAGTAAGTGCCACAAAAACATTGCTATCTTATTATTCTACTTACATGGGCCATTCTTAGTTGCAGACACTGAAACATACAACCATGCAACAGGCAATTATGAATGCAAAAGATTTCTAGGCTAGGGTAAAACTACTGAACTCCTAAAGCTATAAGAGTAACTCTTCCTTGCTACTTGCCAATACTAGTGAAAGCACCAGTAATACCTACTTTAAAAGAAAGCAATGCTCTAATTTCTAATGATGTTGCTACAAGATGAAACTAAAATAAGACGACTCATTTTTAAACATACCAGAATTTATGTATCCAATCAAGGGGGGTCCCCTCCAAAGTTGTCACCTGAAAAGGCAACAAACTTAAAAACGATGCTTCCAAAACATCAGAAAAGATGGACGAGACCTCTAAACACAAAACTACAAAACATTACTGAGAGAAACTAAATATCTAATTAAACAGAGTTAATGGAACAGAAGACTCAATTATCATCAAGAATATAATTCTCCTCAAATTGTTCTGTAGATTCAACACAATTTCAAACATTCCAGCAGATAGCTGTGGAAATTTATAAGCAAATTCTAAAATGTATAAGGAAATGCAAAGGGCTAACAACCAATACAGTACTGAAAAAGAACTAAAGTTAGGAGACTTTGGCTATCAGATACAAAGAGAATAAAGCTAAAGAAATTAAGGCAATGTAATATTGGCACAAGGATTAACAACAACAACAACAAAAAACAGGGCCACAGAACAGAATAGACAGTCTAGAAAAAGACCCACACATACATGGTCACTTGCTTTGTGACAAAGATATCTCCATGATGCAGTGGGGGAAAGGTTGTTACTAAGTCAGGTACAGACCTAATATGGACCTAAATATAAAAGGGAAAACTATAAACATTCCAGAAAGCAACACAGAAGATGTTTTCAGTGGGTCATAAAGGGATCCAATCAAAGAAATTAACAAATTGGACTTCATTGAAATTAAGAACTTCTGTTCCTCAAAAGGTATCATTAACAAAATGAAAACATAAACTACAGAGTAGAAGAAAATATGTGCAACACAGACTCATCCAGACTATACAAAGAACTCCTACAAATCAACATGAAAGATAGCCAAGGTTAGAAAATGGGCCAAAGACTTGAAGAGGACTTCAAAAGAAGAGAACATTCAACCTTTTTTTTCCTTTTTGTGGAGACAGGAGTCTCATTTTGTTGCCCAGGCTGATCTGGAACTCCTGAGCACAAGAGATCTGCCTGCCTTGGCCTCCCAAACTGCTGGGATTACAAACATGAGCTAACGCGCCCGACAAGAGGACATTCAAATGGCTAACATCTAAAAAAGCATTCAACATCATTAGTTATTGAAGAAATGCAAGTGAAAACCACCATGAGATACCACTACAAACACCAGGAATAGTCTGAATTTTTAAAATGGATAATACCAAGTTTTAGCAAAGATGCAGAACAACTGGAACTCTAATACTCTGACTGATTGCAGAAAAAATTGATATAATCACTTTGGAAAACATCTGGCATTATCTCTGAAAAAGATTATTGGCCAGGCACAGTGGCTAACGCCAGTAATTTCAACACTTTGGGAGGCCAAAGCGGGCAGATTGGTTAAGCTCAGGAGTTCAAGACCAGCCTGGTTTTTGAAACCCCGTCTCTACAAAAAACACAAAAATTAGCTGGGCATAGTGACGTGTGCCTCTGGTCCCAGCTACTCAGGAGGCTGAGGTAGCAGGATCACCTGAGCCCAGGAGGTCGAGGCTGCAGTGAGCCATGATCACACCACTGCATTCCAGCCTGAGCAACAGAGTGAGACCCTGTCTCAAAAAAAAAAAAAAAAGAAAAGAAAAGAAAAAAAGAAAAAGATTGTCTTCTTGACCAAATTTTAGTCAGGCTCATTTGAGTCCTGTACTCACCTAAGCTTCCTTCTCCATCCTTGTAGAATCCAGTTTTAGTAAGAATCCTACTAAGTCAGTTTAGCCAGAATCCCCTAACACCATATTTCATCACCTGCCCTTGCTATCTGACCACATTCTTCATTCCCTACCATCTCCCAGCAATGTCTGATCACCCTGGCTTTGGCCTGCCTTCAGCAAGAATCCTGTTAGGTCAATTTAGCCAGAATCCCCACTTACCTCTTAGTAACTTTCCCTCCACTGATACCCTCTCTGCCTAACCCTGCTCCTTGGCTATACATTCCCACTTTTCCTTGTACTTGGAGTTGAGCCCAATTTCTCTCCTCCAATGCAATACTCCCTATATCTATCACAATAGTCCTAAATAAAGTTTGCCATACCATTTCAACAAGTGTCAAGAATACTTTTTTCTTTAACTGCTATTAAAGCTGAATGTATGAATATTCAATGCCTTAGCATTCCACTCCACTTCCAGAGATACACTAAACAGAAATACACACATATGTTCAATAAATGTGTAAGAATGTTTATGGCAGCTTTAGTCACTGTAGTCCCAAAATGGAAATAACCCAAAAATCCTTCAGTACTAGAATGGATACCAAAATTGTGAGATATTCACACAATGGAATACTATACAATAAGAATGACTGAACTACTGTTACATAGAACAACATAGATAAATTTCACAAACACGATGTTGAGTAAAAAAAAGCAAGACACAAAAGAAAATAGTGAATTATTCCATTTATAAAATGTTCAAACGGAGATAACACTTATATATGGCAATTAAAGTCAGATTAACGGCTACCTTTCAGGAAGACTATTTGATAGCTATGACCCAGAGCACACCACATCAAAAGAAACACACTTCATGAAGGACAAGTATTTAAGCTAGAGTGGAGAAATGAAAACGACCAGGGGGAAGTCGAACAGTCACTCCCCTGGCACTCTAGTTTTTCCTTCATTCTCTTTGAAGAATTCAGTACTTTTCACTGCCATTTTATCTGATTTCGCCTCCACCCCACACACCCCAACCACACACACAAATGAATCAATGGTCCATAAAATCTTCCTTCACAAAAATTACAGCAGGACCTATCACTTTATTTCTCCCCTTTTGGAAGAAAAGGAAACCATCTCTATCACCCAGAGGAACTTACCTCCAAATTCAGCAAAGAACCAGAGTTCACAACTCCAACTTCATACTTCATCAAAACCCTACAGAGCTGGCCCCATTATCTTTGGAGTAAAGCTTCCAATTTTTACAATATCTTTATATTAATTACAACAATAATAAAATAGAATGCTTGTAGACTGAAGGTGGACACTAAAGTAGTATCCACAAGAAATTGTTTGTCAAATGCAAATTGGAAGACTAGCAAAAGTTATTTCCATTCAAAATACATTTGTACAGGGAGCATGATAAAAAACTGTGTTTAATTGTGTTAACTGTGATGAAATGCCACTCCTGACTGCTAAGGATATAAATGGTATTAGAAGATCCCTACATGGTTAGAAATGCCTTTTTTACTCTTGTCTGGAGTATGCTGAAGAACCCTTGACTAACCTCCAGTTCCTCTAATTCCATATATTCACTTACCTTTAATTTCACAAACTGCCATCTTTATGCTTCCTTTGCTCCCTTTGCAAACATCATCCTGTGAATCATAGTAGGATAAGATTCCATTATCTAAAACAAACCAACGAGGCTGCCAACCTAAAAAGATCATAAATAACAAAAGGTCAATTGGAAAGACATTACTTTTACCACGTAGAAAACTGTGACTTCAAAACTTGCTATCCACATTATTTCTTGGCTCTCAAATAACATTCTGACAATGAAATTTTTAATCACCAAGGCTTACCAAAAATGTTTTTGCATCAGTCTCCACTTTACTGGGAGAGATTTCTGGAGCAATCTCCAGAGCAGCAAAAACACAGGGAGTAATACTTCTAATTCTAGCTCACAGTGTTCTCATTAACAACCCATAAGGCCCATCCTTAGTAATAGCCCTAAACCAGGTATAGCATAACTGCCCTCTTTTCCTAAAAAGGAACAGAGTTGGGGTTATGATATTAAGGGAAAAGCCATGGAAGACAGTGATTCTAGCCTTACCTATAGTATCATTCTTTAATTGGATAATTATACCCTGGGGGCGAATCTTTTCATTTCAATAAATCTCTAAAATTCTCAGTCTCTAAAATGTATAGATTGAATAAGATGACCTCTCAGGTGCCACCTGGCCCTCTAATTCTGCAATGTGACTCCTATGAAATACATACTTCTAAGCAAACTCCCTTAAACACAGTGAGTGCTAAATGAATTCCAGTCTCTTAAATAGAAGCTACATACCCTATGGTGAGAACATAGATTCCCCATGTGATCCCCTCTTCCCTTGTCTGCAGGTGCACAGCTAGGGCAGAAATCCTAGAAACTGCAGTTGTTCAACTGATATTTATTCAGTGACCAGAGCTCACATCTATCACAGACTTGGCTCCATGCCAAAGCTGGTGACAAGGATGATGGCTTTCCTTGGCACCCAATTCCCACTCCTCTTTGAAGCCAAACTTGGTGTTCCCTGGATGCTTGATTAGCGTCCCTTATCAAGCATGCTACTAATTTACAACAGTTCACTGACTATTAACATGGTGACCATGCTGGGGGCAGCGTGACTGTCCTTGTTGTTTTTTGTTTGTTTGTTTGTTTGTTTGTTTGTTTTTGAGACGGAGTCTCGCTCTGTCACCCAGGCTGGAGTGCAGTGGCCGGATCTCAGCTCACTGCAAGCTCCGCCTCCCGGGTTTACGCCGTTCTCCTGCCTCAGCCTCCCGAGTAGCTGGGACTACAGGCGCCCGCCACCTCGCCCGGCTAGTTTTTTGTATTTTTTAGTAGAGACGGGGTTTCACCAGGTTAGCCAGGATGGTCTCGATCTCCTGACCTTGTGATCCGCCCGTCTCGGCCTCCCAAAATACTGGGATTACAGGCTTGAGCCACCGCGCCCGGCCGACTGTCCTTGTTCTTTCCGTGACTATTAAATAACAATTCAGCACAAGTGTTCATGGCTAAAATGTACATTTTAAACCGTGGGTGTTCAAATCCTGGTCACTTTTGCCATAGCCTGCCACATGATTAATCTGATCTTTCCAGAGTCAGATAGTGCCGAGAGGGGAGAGGGGTCAATCATCCTTACACTTTAATACAGATCCAGGACTTAATTCCCCAAAAGGATTTATCTCTAACACTTTTGAAATGACAACACTGAGTCATCATAAAAGATTAAATTTACTTTGTAACCTTGTTTAGGAAGGCAGGGAATGCAGTAATACAGTTCAGAAAGATGGATATCTAAAGCAATTAAAAACCAGCAATTTTCAGGTTCCTGGAAGATTCCTTTTTGTGAAACAACAGAGTATTCCCTAGTGAGACCTAAACAAATTAGAAAATAAGTTATTTTGGTATATGGACTTTATCTTGCTCAACACTGCATTCCCAGCAACTAGAATGGTGCCTGGCACGTAAGAGGTACCAAAAGAATCTATTTCTCAAGTGACTGAATAAATAAATGAATGAATAAATACCCCCAAAAGTGAGATATTTCATGGATTGCTGCTGCTGTTGTTGTTTTGTTTTTTTGAGACAGGGTCTTGCTCTGCTGCCCAGGCTGAAGTGCAGTGGCATGAACATGGCTCACCACAGCCTCGACCTCCTAGGCTCAAAAGGTCCTCCCACCTCAGCCTCCCAAGTAGTTAGGACTATAGACACGCCACCGAGACTTGCTAATTTTTTAATTTTTTATAGAGATGAAGTCTCACCATGTTGCCCAGGCTCGTCTCAAATTCCTGGACTCAAGTAATCCTGCCACCTTGGCCTTCCAAAGTGCTAGGATTACAGGTGTGGACCACCACACCTGGCAGCTATTTCATATTAACCATGAGAATATAGACATACAATATATCTTTGAGAGTATATTGTATTGATCATGCATGGAAATGATAAAAACTATCTTTCCAAACACTAATTTACCTTATCAAACAAATTATAAGCAGTGGGTGGTGAAAATACACTCCTCCACCCAGGTCTAGTGTGCCTATAGAACAAATTATGATTTTGCAAGCCTGCAGTACTGCAATTCAATATCTCTTTAAAACAAATATTGGGCAAAATGATTCATTTAGAATTTGCAGCAACATGAAAGGTGAGTGGTTGAACATATTAATATAATCAAGCCTGTTAATTATCTCTAAACACTTTTTGAAGAAACATTTAATAAAACAATTTCTAATTGATTCACACACTCAAATAACAGAGGGTAATATCTGTGAAAAAGAGTCACAGGTATTCCCTTTTTAAAATTCTTTTTTTAATTCTTTTTATCTCAAACTACCAAATGTTACTGAAATTCTTACTCTCCACAAAGGATTCTCAAATAACACTATCTTTTTTTTTTTTGAGATAGAGTCTCACTCTGTTGCCAAGGTTTGAGTGCAGTGGTGCAATATGGGCTCACTGTAACCTCTGTCTCCCAGGCTCAAGTAATTCTCATGCCTCAGCCTCCCAAGTAACTAGGACTACAGGTGCACGCCATCATGACTGCCTAATTTTTTGTATTTTTTGTAGGGACGGGGTTTCGCCATGTTGGCCAGGTTGGTCTCAAACTCCTTACCTCAAGCTATCTGCCCATCTCAGCCTCCCAATGTGCTAAGATTACAGGCATGAGCCACTGTGCCTGAACAACACTATCATTACACTGAAAGATCACTTAGTATGAACAGCTGCTCATCCTAATGACCTATGATGAACTAAAATTAATCATCAGCACGCTGTTGACTCAAATTTAACTCTTAAAAATGAAATTCTTCCAACCAAAAGATTTCTTTTCAACCAGCTTCTACAATGCATACTAGAAGTTGACTAAATGCCCTGCAAAGACTACAATCTAAATCACATGCGGTGAAAAGCTCAACCACTGGTTATTTAGTACCATAGGAGATGAGGAAATGGCCACCAAGACCAGGTTTCACCTCAGTTCTTAAATTATGACTCATCTCAGTAATGACCCAATGGTTCCTCCGGCATGACCTCCACAACACCATGCTTAGGAATACTTGCAATGAGATGAGCATTTGCATCTCAAAGCATACAAGCTACTGTCTTTTTGTTTTATTTTGCTTTTTGAGACAGGATCTCATTCTGTTAGCCAGGCTGGAATGTGTGGGTACAATCATAGCTCACTGATCCTAGCTCACTGCAGCCTCCATTTCTCTAGCTCAAGTAATCCTCTCGCCTCCGCCTCCTCAGTAGCTAGGACTACAGGCGTGCACCACCACACCTAGCTAATTTTTTTGTTTGTTTGTTTGTTTGTTTGTTTAGTAGAGACCACATCTCCCTGTGTGGCACAGGTTGGTCTTGAGCTCAAGCAATCCTCCCACGTCCGCCCCCCCAAAGTGCTGGGACTACCGGGGTGAAGCACTCTACTGTCTTTAACAGTTAACACTATACCTCAACCAAACAGTATAACTGCTCTCACAAGGGCCCAAATGAAAATGCCCAATAAAAAATATTTATCTAACTTTTAAATGTTTCCCATTAAAACATGTCACTTATAGAAATAAATTGACTTTTTAGTTTGAACAAAATAAAACATCTGTGTATCCTAAATGTTAAAAGCATTTGCTGCTATCAATCTGGCTTTAGCATTCTAAGAAATCAAAAAGCAGGTATAACTGTAGCCCAGTGCTTTTGCCTGAAAAAGTTTATGTGCACATTTTGCACAAGATCAGGTGGACACAAGTTGAGAGTACCACACAATTACTGAGGGATTCGATACTTTTGGCAGAGGGAATAAGTGGGCAGCAAGTCATGATTTGCCTATGCTAGACCCCCCAAAAAAATCTGTTTACTGTTCAAATTTATGTTAAAACCATCCTCTCACTTAGTGAGGTCATGGAATTCTGGAGTTGGAAGGCATGTCCAGGACAAAATAGCTAATCACCCTGGCCTTACCAGACTGAGGTCCTGAAAGAATAACTGACTTGCCTTGATTGTTGGTTGATGGCAGAGATTGGACTACAACTCAAATTTAAGGAGCTTTTAAATAAGCCAGACTGCCAATGTCATGGAAAGGAGCCCTTTCCTGCTGGCCTCTGATTTCTTCAACGTTCTCCCTTCCACCCACTTCACAGGTGAAAGTGACTTGCCTGCTCCCTTTCTGTGTATTGGCACTGTCTTCCACTATTTCCCACACAGTTAACAGAATTCCCCAACGTAAGGATACTTCATTGACAATCCCTAAGAGAATATTATCTGGGGACAGCTTCCAAAATCATGCTCGCTAAGCTCGAACAACCTCAACAAGACAACTTTTTAAAATAAAATGTTAAGGAAATTAGAAGAAATACAGAAAAGAGTTCTTAAAATTAAATCTTGTAGTTGAAACAATTAAAGGGTCCTTTCCAGTCCAATACTCTGACAACTCAGTTATTAACAAAATGCTCTTAAAGTATGAATACTAAGTGTGAATAAGGACGGAGATCTCAACAACACATGTAGGGTGACTGAGAATTGTTCCGGAGGCTACAGGAGGCAAAGATTGGTATTATCACACTAGCAAGTAAGTGGCAGGTGCATTTCCCACCCTCTAGAAGGTGCGCAGCCTTAAACCCTCCCCTGAAGAGGCCAGAAGGACTCAATAAGCCCTGGAATCGAGTACAGCGAATTCGCTCTGAGGGTCCGCGGAGGCCAGACGGAGGAAGAGAAGTCCCGGACCCGCCTTCTCCGCAGCCTCCTGCCTAAGCCCCTCCAAGCCCCCCGCCTCTCCCCTCTTCCCTCATCACGTGAGCCCCCATACCTGTGAGATAGTTGGTCCACTTGTACAAAACCCCCTCCATGCTTCAGAGCCCCACACCGCGCATCCTCCCGGCCTGGCGCCAGCCGCGGTGATGGGGTAGGCGCGGGGCCTGGGGCAGCCACTCCCGGCCCGCCCGGGCCCCCTCCCCCGGAGCCCGCCGCCGGCACGAAGCCGCCCTCTGCCTGCGCGCGCCGCCCGGACGTGGCGGCCCTTAGAGGCCGGAACAGCGGGCGCCGCGTGGAGCTTGGGGGCCGCGAGGCGCGGGCCCAGACATCCCGGAGTAAGCCTCGGCGGCGGCGGCCGCGACAACGACAAAAATGCGACCGCGACCGGCCTCCTGCTCGCGCTTCCGCGGCCCGGCGCTGCCTCCTCCTCGCCTGCCTTCCTTCCCCCCGGGCTCCCCGTTTGTTTTCATTGACCCCGACGTCGCTTTCACTTCCTGGATGAAAGGGGCCGGATCGTCCCGGGAAACCCCTCCCCGGCGGCGGGGCTGAAGGAGCGGGCGCGGCCTGCGGCCTCGCCGCCTAGCCGGAGGCTGCGTGAGGAGGGCGGACCTGCGCGTCGCACCCTCGGCCTGCCAGCTAAGGCAGCTCTTCTCCTCACACGGGCCCAGGGCCAACAGTCCCGAGGCTCCCTAGTCTACCCCTGGCCGCCAAGGCCCAGGCCGACCGCCCCCGGGGGCCGAGGCCTTCGGACTCCACTGCGCGCGCAGCCCCGGTGCCCACCCGAGGAGGAGCTCCCCACACACTCATCCCTCGGGCACTTAGTTCTCTCGGGTTTTCCTGGGTTTTTTTTTTTTTTTTCTGAAAAAATAAATAAAAGCCTTCCTATTTCTGTTTGCTTCGTATTTTCCTCATATTCAAGGGGTCTGAAATTATCTCCTATGAAGGCAATGTGCAACAGACGGGGTCCTCTGACAAGGAATGGCGAGGGCCCCCCAAGGAACTGTCATCACGCTGATAATTTACCTTGGATAGCCACAATTTTATTTAGAATATAAAACATTGAACTTGACTTTGGAATTTTATTCTAGAAAGGAGGACTTCCCCCTAGCTTTTATGATTTTTGAAACTCCTGCTTGGACGCAATCGTCGTCTTGCATAATCGACAGTAATTTTCAGGTTTATGGAATTTTGCAAACTTTAAGCAAAGCACATCAATCGGGCTCAGTGCTGCGGCTTTTCTTCGCATCACCCAGGTGGAATAGCACCTCTACTCCCAGAACTTAATCCAGGCGAATGCAAAAGGCCTTTGCTGGTTTTCTGGTTTGGATAGTCTTTAGGTATTCACTCGGAAACAAGGCGAATTGATGGAGGAAAGAGTGATGGATAGATATATAATAAATATAATTCAATGACAGGATCTAGGCGGTGGGTGTACGAGTGTTTACTGTAAAATTCAACTTTTCTGTGTATTTTAAAGGTTTTCGTACTAAAATTGGTGGTGGGGAGGTGTGGTCACACAGATTTGACCAAAAACCTGGCTGCGTATTAGCTGTGAGATTAGGGAAAAAATGCCCAATACTCAAGTTTTCTTGACTGATGTGGAAAATTACGTATCCCATGGGATTGGTACAAAAAAGTCAAAAGACCATTCTCCGCACTACCAGAGGCCCTCGAATCAAGGGCGGCCCCTAGTGGAGGGGGAAAGAAATGCAAGCCAGCGGCGGTCGCTGAATCCTGGAGGTCGGCTCTCGGAAATGCCTGCAGCCAGGCGGAGGAGCTGCTGCACCGCAGTTTCTTCGCGTCGGGCTGGCCTTCAGGTTGTGCGACTCAGCCTGGAACTTCTGAATGCAAGACTCCGACCTGAGGATTCGCTTCAAGGACACCCCAGAAGCACCCAGGAAGCCACCGCCAGCCTATTTTTTACGCTCCTTTTCCAGCATGCTTCTTCCACCCCCCAGTATCTATCTGCTAGTTCCGTAGGGGTCTTAGAAGTCTTTTGCTTCCACAAATGACAACCATATTCCCTGACTCTACGACATCCCTGGCTGTTTATTTCGTCTTATGCCAGTTCCATTTTAGAAATGCCAATGTTGTCACCGAACCCTGAGGAAACCGGCTGTAAAATATGCGGGTTTAGCGAGAAGCAGAGCGAGTGTGCGGTGCAATCTTAGAGATGAGAACAGCCAGCCCGGGGGCCTAGAAACAGCGTTAACCGCGCTGAGCCCGCTGCCCAAGGAGGAGGGGTTGGGCCTGTGAGAGGGCAGGGCCGCGTCTATGGCCCAGCCCCGGCCCTTTGTGACAGTGTACAACGCCTGCCACGCGTCGGAACTCGGCGCGGGGCATCCAAGGGGCGCGAGTGACACGCGGGAGGGAGAGCGCTGTTCTGCTGGAGCCGATGCCAGAAACCATGCATTTCTTATTCAGATTCATTGTTTTCTTTTATCTATGGGGCCTTTTTACTGCTCAGAGACAAAAGAAAGAGGAGAGCACCGAAGAAGTGAAAATAGAAGTTTTGCATCGTCCAGAAAACTGCTCTAAGACAAGCAAGAAGGGAGACCTACTAAATGCCCATTATGACGGCTACCTGGCTAAAGACGGGTCGAAATTCTACTGCAGGTAGGAAATGCTTCGAGCTGCCCACGCGTCCAGTTGCACAAAATCTTGCCTGCCTCCACCAAGCGTAAGCCTTACTGGTTAGTTGGTTGGTTGGTTGGTTGGTTGGTTGGTTGGGGTTTTATTTTTTAACAGTAAAAGTTGAGCCCTTTATTCATTAAATATATATATATATGTAATATATATGTGTGTGGTTCTCTAATAAACTGAATATTTCTATTTAAAGTATTGAAAATGTTGGTCCAATAAATTATCGAAAATACAGTACATCCACACACACACCAACCACTACCATTACCTTTAATTCTGGGACCTCCAGAATTAAATCAAGGTTCTGCCTGTAAGGATGTTCACATTTTTCCCTTGCCGGAAGTATTGAGTCTTTACGGAGGAATACATGGAATAACGAGATTTAACTCTGGCCTTCAGAAGCACGATTTTTATAGGTTGTGGCCACTTTCTATCAAGAAAAACCATTACTTCCCTGGTGACTTCTGGTGGGCCCTGCTCCCCCATTCCACCTGGTGCCTACTCTGATTTGATGGCTTATTACTCAGAGGGAGAATCTTTTCTTCATCCTGTAAAGATAGGACTGGGTAAGATAGTTCCATCCATTTAGAATAAAATAGAGAAATTTAATAAGAATTTATACAGTTTTTAAATTTAATATTATATTAGGATTTAATAAGAATATAGACTATATTACTAGAATTTAATAAGAAAATATACCATTTTAAATTACTTTTAAAATGATTTTTTGAGGCTAAACCTGCCTCATCATTTTTTACAACACACTCAGGGGAGTTAAATGAGTTCTTTGTACAAGCCATGCAGCTAGTTAGGGGCTGGAGACCCATTAAAAAGTTAACTGTTGAATAGGTTTTGTAAAGATAACAATTTTAAAAAATGAGATGGCTCTTAATGATTAGCTTTGGGCAAATCATACTTCTTTCTGGTGATTATAGGGAAGTTTGAGTCAAACACCCGGTTAGGGGTTTTAGAAAGAGTGCTTATACAGGAATGATGGTTAGAGAGGACTCCAATTTTAAATGCCCAGCTGTATTTTCAAGTTTGATTTCTTGAAATCAGTTTACTTAAGTATTGTTTTTTATTATAGCCGGACACAAAATGAAGGCCACCCCAAATGGTTTGTTCTTGGTGTTGGGCAAGTGATAAAAGGCCTAGACATTGCTATGATGGATATGTGCCCTGGAGAAAAGCGAAAAGTAGTTATACCCCCTTCATTTGCATACGGAAAGGAAGGCCATGGTAAGATGTTTAATTTTAATTTCTTGTTTTAGTTATATTTTAAAAATGATTAGTAGATTTCTGGGTATGTAGGTCTGAAAGAATTGAAAGCCCAGTCTCAAAAAGAAATATTTGTACAGCCATGCTCATAGCAGCCATGTACAGTAGACAAGAGATGGAAGCAAGCCACATGTCCATAGATGATAGAGAAATGGATAAACAGCCGGGCGCGGTGGCTCACGCCTGTAATCCCAGCACTTTGGGAGGCCGAGGCGGGCGGATCACGAGGTCAGGAGATCGAGACCATCCTGGCTAACACGGTGAAACCCCGTCTCTACTAAAAATGCAAAAAATTAGCCGGGCGAGGCGGCGGGCGCCTGTAGTCCCAGCTACTCGGGAGGCTGAGGCAGGAGAATGGCGTGAACCCGGGAGGCGGAGCTTGCAGTGAGCCGAGATCGTGCCATTGCACTCCAGCCTGGGCGACTAAGCCAGACTCTGTCTCAAAAAAAAAAAAAAAAAAGAGAAATGGATAAACAAAATGAATATATGCATATATGGAAGCCAGGCACAGTGGCTCACGCCTGTAATCCCAACAGTTTGGGAGGCCAAGTTGGTAGGATCGCTTGAGGCCAGGACCAGCCTGAGCAACAGCAAGACCCTGCTCTACAAAAAAAAAAAAAAAAAAAAAAAAAAAAAAAAAAAAAAAAAAAAAACCCACATGAAATGGAATATTATTCAGCCTTAAAAAGGAAGAAAATTCTGAGACATTCACCAACATGTATCAGCCTTGAGGACATTATGCTAAATGAAATAAACCAGTCACAAAAAGATAAATACTGTATAATTCCACTTATATGAGGTACCTAGAGTAGTCAAATTAATAGAGACAAAGTAGAAGGGTGATTGCCAGAGGCTGAAGTGAGAGGGAAAAGGGGGAGTGTTGACCAATGGGTATAGAGTTTCAGTTTTGCCAGAGGAAGAGTTCTGGAGATTGGTTGCATGGCAGCATAAATGTACTTTACTGAACAACACACTTGAAAATCGTTATGATGGTAAATTTTATGTTATGTGAATTTTACCACAATTAAAAACAAAAAAAGTAAAATAAATAAAAAATGATAGATGAAATAAAGAGAACAGTTGAGTCCAATGACCTTAAGCTCTATCTAGTTCAGTCCAGTCCCCTCTTTTTGTTTATAAAGATAACACGACATTGTTTGAATATAGATATCTGGCCAGAGTTCTTTCTTCTACATTGTGGCAACACTCATGATGATTCTGTATATTCTATAAGCTCTATCTTAAGCATTTTTTTTGAGACGGAGTCTCGCTCTGTGGCCCAGGCTGGAGGGTAGTGGCACGATCTCGGCTCACTGCAAGCTCTGCCTCCTGGGTTCACGCCATTCTCCTGCCTCAGCCTCCTGAGTAGCTGGGACTACAGGTGTCCGCCACCATGCCTGGCTAATTTTTTGTATTTTTAGTAGAGACGGGGTTTCACTGTGTTAGCCAGGATGGTCTCGATCTCCTGACCTCGTGATCCGCCCGCCTCGGTCTCCCAAAGTGCTGGGATTAGAGGCTAAGCCACTGTGCCTGGCCAAGCATTTTTATTGTTTTCAGCATATGTCATTATTACATAAATATTTATAACAGATCTTTGGTAAGCAGTACCAAAGTTAAATTCATAAAACTCAGAAACTGGAACATGTGGGTTTAGAGTAAAAGGACAGGACGGGCACATTGTAAAAGGAACATCTGAGATATAATAAGCTGTCAGTCATTATTACCCCAATACAGGACAAGCCTTCAAATGTGTAAGAAATGATCTTATTCTTTCAATATCTTGCCTATTTTTAAAATCGTAGAACAAAAAGATCTGAAAACCTAGGTAAAGCAAATAAATGGGAAAAATGTTTGTATCATATATGAAGACTGACTTACACTAACCAATAATGAAAATGACATATCCCTAGAAATGGGCCAAATTCATAAATAAGCACCCACTAGCAAAAAATTACAAATGGCCTTTAAGTCTGTGAGAATACTTAATTTTATTCATAATTAAAGAAATTTAAAATGAGACACCATATTTCACTCATCAGATTAGCAAAGACAAAACAACTTGGCAAAAGCATGGAAAAATCAGCATTATTGCTGGGAATGGAAATCATTCAACTTCTCTAACAATTGTTATCAAAAGTGAAAATGCAGGCCCAGGTGTGGTGGCTGATACCTGTAATTCCAGCACTTTGGGAGGCTGAGGTGGGCAGATCACTTCAGGTCAGGAGTTTGAGACCAGTCTGGCCAACATGGTGAAACCCCGCCTCCACTAAAAATACAAAAATTAGCTGGTTGTGGTAGAGTGTGTCTGTAATCCCAGCTACTTGGGAGGCTGAGGCAGGAGAATCACTTGAACCTGGGAGGCAGAAGTTGCGGTGAGCCGAGATTGTGCCACTGTACTCCAGCCTGGGCTACACAGTGAGACTCCATCTCAAAAAAAAAAAGTGAAAATGCACATGCCTTCTTATTCCAGTAGTTCCATTTCCAGGAATATGCACAAAGGTATGTGTAAAAGAACATTCACTGCAGGCATTTTTGTGGGGGAGGGTAGCAAAAGGCTGGAAACCACCTCCTATCCATCAGTGGGAAATTAGTTAAATATAATATATCTACACAATGAATTACTGTGTAGCCAGTAAAAAGAATTAAGTAGAGCTATACTTATTAATATGTTAAAAATAAAGTGGAGGCCAGGCATGGTGGCTTCATGCCTATAATCCTAGCACTTTGAGAGGCTAAGGTGGGAGGATCACTTGAGCCCAGGAGTCTGAAAGCAACCTGGGCAATGCAGGGAGACCCAATCGCTACAGAAAATTAAAAAGTTAGCCAGCTGTGGCGGTATCCGCCTGTGGTCCCAACTACTCAGGGTGCTGAGGTGGGAGGATCCCTTGAGCCTGGGAGGTCGAGGCTGCTGTGAGCTGTGTTTGTGCCACTGCACTCCAACCTGTGGACTACACTATATTCCACTTTTGGGATATGTATTGAGCATCAGTGCCAGGCTTTGTAGGCACTGGGCATAAAGCAGTGACCAAAGTAGACACTACTCCCGATCCTCTATGAGCTTGTATCTCAGAGGAGGAGTTTCACATATGCCTGTATCTACACAAAAATACATCTGGAAGAATATGCAGTCATCTGATGACATTAAGTGTTCCTGGGAAGGAGGCCTCGGGGTCAAGGATGAGAAGATTTATTTTCATTCTAACATTTTGTACCATTTGAAAGTTTTATAGTGCATGTATTAATTTTTCCAAAATTAAATTTTTAAATTACAAAAATTGAGTGTAGCAGAACAGAGAAGAAAATTTTTAAAGCAGGCAGGGAGGATGGGCAGCCTGACAGACAGGCTGCACCTTGCATCCTTTGTTAGGTTCTTGCTCCACGTTGCTGCTTGAAGGCTGTACAGAAAGAATCTTTGCCTCCTTACCCTATTTAGAGCCACTGCTAACTCCACCTGTTTGAAATAGTAAAGATCAATTTTCCACAATGAGATATGGCATTGCTCCCAAATATTTCATGGAAGTGGCATGCCTTCTTTGAGGCCGTTTTATTAGTCATTAAGAGTTCTTTCCAGCAAAATCGGGGCATCAGTGCCCCACATTGGATTGGCGGGTGGTGGGGGGTTGTCAGTGCTTCGAGTCAGACCCAGTCAGGCTTAAAACTCCTAAAGAGACAATTTCCAGATAACTTCAGCTTTATTTTTAATGCTTTTTGCCAATAATTTGATCCCATCAGAACAGCTCTATGGTACCATAATTTATATATCCTGTTTTTATTTGTATAGGAACCTGGGAGAAAGAGAAGGAAAATTGAAAATAAATTAAGTCAAATGCAATACTTGTGCTAAAAATCTGTCAAAAGTTAAGGCCACTTCTAGGCAAAATGATGGAGGAAGAGTTTGCCTTTCAGTCTCTTTCTCATTTTCAAAGTTTTCCTTTCTGTCTTGTGTTGTGTCTTCAGATGCCTCCACATTCTGCCTACCACTAGAGCACCCACTCTCCTATCTGCCTGGAGCACACACATCTGTCATCATCAGGTGCTCATCCAGGGTTCACCACCCTCAGGCAAAGGACCACTTAGCTTATCCTTTTCATAAAGTAATTTATCCTTAGATATGAATGACTACCCAGGCTGCCTAAGCTCTTAATAAATCAGAAACTTGCTGCAGAGATATAGAAGTTTGACATGAAACAAGTTCCTATTCAATTGGAGGTATCTCTAACAAACATTAAAGTGAATAATCTCACTAGTAATACCACCAGCACCCTCATTTTACAGGAAAGGAAACTGAGGCCCCAAAAAGTGTGTTAATTGGACCATAGTTAATACTGGCCTTGCCTGCATTGCAATACCTTGGATTACATTATTTTAAAAGTTGCAGTGTAGACCTTAAGTAACTGTTTAACAATCTCTTGATTAAATAAGCATTTAAAAGTAAGTTGTTATTAAGACGTGACATTAGCTATAACTTTATTTTAGGTAGTACTTGAAGAAGTCTTTCTTCTGTAAAATATCCTTGTCTCATGTCACAGAACAACCCTGCATGTCTTGAAATGCATGTGACTTGTTAGTGCTTAAATAACAATATATAACAAGAAAAAGAGGTAATTGGCAATATATCCTTTTTTTTTTTTTTTTTTTTTTTTTTTTTTTTTGTGATGGAGTCTTACTCTGTCGCCCAACTGGAGTGCAGCGGTGTGACTGATTTTGGCTCACTGCAGCCTCTCCCTCCCGGGTTCAAGCTACTCTCCTGCCTCAGCCTCTGAGTAGCTGGGATTACAGGCACACGCCAGCATGCCTGGCTAATTTTTGTTTTTTTAGTAGAGACGGGGTTTCACCATGTTGGCCAGGCAGGTCTTGAACTCCTGGTGGCTTATACCACTGCGCCTGGCCAATGTTTTCTGTTTATAGCAAAATTGTTCAAAAACTGCCTATGTACCTACGATATTTTTTCTTAAGAAATTTATGTTTTGGGCTGGGCACAGTGGCGTATACCTGTAATCCTAGCACTTTGGGAGGCTGAGGTGGGTGGATCACCTGAGGCCGGGAGTTCAAGACCAGCCTGGCCAACATAGTGAAACCCCATATCTACTAAAAATACAAAAAATAGCTGGGCGTGGTGGTGCATGCCTGTAGTCCCAGCTACTTGGGAGGCTGAGACACAAGAATCACTTGAACTCAGGAGGTGGAGGTTGCAGTGAGCCAAGATTGTGCCACTGCACTACGGCCTGGGCAACAGAGCAGATTCTGTCTCAAAAAAAAAAAGAAAGAAAGAAATTTGAATTTGTGTTTTGAATTTGCCTTGAATTATTGTCAGAAGTAATTGTTTTTCTGTAATAAGGAGATTATAACTGGAAAAAATAGGAATAGGTTTTATAAAACGACCATTGACTCAATCTCTAGCTCTTCTACTCTAAAGTCAGGTAATATGTGGTGCATTAGGTTAGGACTTTTATGTTAGTCATATGATGCATGGGTAGATCCTTCTATGTTTTCTCTTTGAAAACTACTAATCTGCTACTCCTTTTGGCTATAACTCACAAACTCTTTTCTCTTCAGATTATATAAAGACTTTAGCTAGAATGCTTCACTTTTTTATTAAAGAAATTGCTGTTTCCTTCCAAGGACAAACATTTTAAAAATAAATGATATGGGTCATTCATTTGATAAATTGGACTGTCTGCAGTAGATCAGGCACTGTGTGAGACACTGGCAATATACTGATGACACAAGCTACCCACTGCCCCTTAGGAAGTTATTTCTGCAGGTCATTTTTATGACATATATATCTGAAATAGCCCATTGTTTATTAAAATCACCTGTGACATCATGGCCTGGCACGGTGGCTCACGCCTATAATCCCAGCACTTTGGGAGGCCAAGGCAGGTGGATCATTTGAGGTCAAGAGTTTGAGACCAGCCTGGCCAACATGGTGAATCCCCATCTCTACTAATAAAGTACAAAAAATTGCCACCAGGAATGGTGGCAGATGCCTGTAATCCCAGCTACTCAGGAGGCTGAGGCAGGAGAATTGCTTGAACCTGGGAGGCAGAGGTTACAGTGAGCCGAGATCGTGCCATTGCACTCTAGCCTGGGTGACAGAGGAATTTTCTTGTCCAAAAAGAAAAAAAAAAATCTGTGACATCAGCTAATAGGTTAACTTAATTAAAGAGAGCAATTCTAGCCAGGCACAGTGGCTCACATCTGTAAGCCTAGCACTTAGGGAAGCCAAAGCAAGCAGATCACCTGAGGTCAGGAGTTCAAGACCAGCCTGGCCAACATGGCGAAACCCTGTCTCTACTAATAATACAATGCCTGGTGTGCACCTGTAATCCCAGCTACTCAGGAGGCTGAGGTAGGAGAATGGCTTGAACCCAGAAGGCAGAGGCTGTAGTAAGCGGAGATTGCGCTACTGCACTCCAGCCTGGGAAACAGAGTGAGACTCCGTCTCAAAAAAAACAAATAGATAAAAATAAAAAGAGGTATTCAACTTAATGCTTAAAAATGTATACAATTTCTTTGTAAAATTGTTACTGAATTTTTCTTTTATTTTTAATTCTTTTTTTTTTTTTTTTAATAGAGACAGGGTCTCACTATGTTGCCCAGGTTGGTCTCAAACTCCTGGGCTCAAGTGATCCTCCTGTCTCGGTCTCCCAGAGTGCTGGAATTACACGTGTGAGCCACCATGCCCAGCCTGTTACTGGATTTTTCTATCATTGCACTTATTTTTTAATGTCTATAAAAAATTTGAAAGACAAATATATTGATACTTATGTTTTATTTATGCTTCCAAATAACTACACAAAATCATTTTCTAGAAGATTACTCATCTATGCTTTGAAATTTTTCTGCCCCTGCATTTCTTCTCTGTGCCACCTCTCTTCTGTATTGATGATAGGAGAGTACAGTTGTCTCTCAGTACCTGTTAGAGATTGGTTTCAAGACTTTCTCATGGATTCCAAAATCCACAGAAGCTCAAGCCCCTAATATAAAATGGCATCACATTTGCATATAACCTCCGCACATCTTCCAGTGTACTTTAAATCATCTCTAGATTACTTATAATATCTAATACAATGTAAATGTTATGTAAAAGGTTTTTGTATTGGTTAGGGAATAATGACAAGAAAAAAGTCTGTACGTGTTTATTACACACACAACTATCCTTTTTTTGTATGAATATTTTCAAGCTGAGACCGGTTGAATCCACAGATGCAGAACCCACAGATATGGAGGGTCATATCCATGTATTAATAAAAATTTATGATTTGTACTTAATCAAGAAATAGTGGTCCCATAGGTCCTTTGAATTGACTTGGTTCAGAAACATGCGGAAAAAATATTCCTAAAAAGTATTTATAAAAAAAAGAGAAAAAAAGCAAAAATGAAAACTCTTGAAAAGCTGAAAGAAGTTATAAAAGATGAGAAAAAATTAAAAATTGTGAGTATTCAGATAGCAATTCTTATCAACATGAAATAATGTAATATGGTTATGGCAGTTCATGAGTAGATATTTGAACCATATCTTTACGTAAGTTAAACTGCTAAAATTTATACCCTTAGCAGAAGGCAAGATTCCACCTGATGCTACATTGATTTTTGAGATTGAACTTTATGCTGTGACCAAAGGACCACGGAGCATTGAGACATTTAAACAGATAGACACGGACAATGACAGGCAACTCTCTAAAGCCGAGGTAATTCAAACCAATTTCATGTGTATAGTCTAATTTTTTTATCTCAGTTTAAATACATCTGTTTTTACAACTATTACTTTTTAGGTCTAGCTAGCATGGGCTCTGATCACTGCTTTTATAGAGCTGGTCACTAAAAAATAATCTAAGCGCTTAGAAAAAGCTCTAAGCTTTTTCAGTATAAACCTTGTGAGTCATCCTCTTCAATTGCCTTTCTCCCTACAAGAGAGTCATTAAAATCCCAAATTATTCATCTCTACAGTGCTCTTCCAGTTTCTAGACTACACTAGCATATCTCTTTTTCAGGCAACACTGTAAGAATTTGCAACAGGGCAAATAATTCACGCCTCATAGGATTATGAAAAGAGCTAGCAAGGATCTGAATTGAGTGGGCTAGAAAGTTGGTAAACAGGAGCCAGGAGTTCAGCCAGCTAGCTTCTGTATCTCAGTCTTGTAATAAAGATCTTGTAATAATAATGATAATTGGGCTGGGCATGTGGCTCATGCCTAAAATCTCAACACTTTGGGAGGCCGAGGTGGGAAGATTGCTTGAGCCCAGGAGTTCAAGACCAGCCTGGGCAACATAGGGAGACCCGTCTCTACAAAAAATTTAATAAATTAGCCAGGTGTGGTGGTGCATACCTGTGGTCCCAGCTAGGAGGCTGAGGTAGGAGGATCGCTTGGGCCCAGGAGGTTGAGGCTGCAGTGAGCTGTGATCGTGCCACTGCACTCCAGCCTGGAAGATAGACTGAGACCTTGTCTCCAAAAAAAAAAAAAAAAAAAAGAGATAATAATAGGTAACATTTATTTTGTACTTTTAGTACCAGATACTATTTATAAGCATATAAGTATGTGAACTTATCTAATCTTCATGATAGTTTATGGGGCAGACACTATTGTCATCATCTCCACTTTTAGATGGGGAAAATAATAATCAGGTTAACTAGCCAAAAATCACACAGTAGTAAGGGGCAAAACCTGGGCCATCTGGCTTCATGAGTCTTCTTACAGTTTAATTTTTCTTAGAGACAGGGTCTTGCTCTGTTGCCCATGCCAGGGTGGAGTGATCATAGCTCACTGCACCCTTGAATCCCTGGACTCAAGTGATACCCCAGCATGCCACCACACCCAGCTAATTATTTTTGTTTAAGAGATGGAGTCTCACTACATTGCCCAGGCTAGTCTTGAACTCCTGGCCTCAAGTGATTCTCCTTCAGCCTCCCAAAGTGCTGGGATTACAGGCATGAACCACCATGCCTGGCCCACTACTGTATTTTTAACTTTGGACTTAGACTGCTTCTTTTGGAGAAAATCATGAATGTTTCAAGTCTAATACTATTTATTGAAGTCTAATGTTTTACTTAGTCCCACTGACCATACTCTTGCTTAAAATTAGTAAACCAGCTGTCTCCCCTCTTAACTAGTTAGGAGACATTTAAAAATGCATAACTCTACCACATAAGTGAGTAGTAAAAGATTGATTTCAAGTGATAAAAATAAGTCTTTTTCTCTGTTGCTTTTTCATCTCCTTCTCCAATCCTTTCCCCACCCAGTTCAACTTCTTACACCTGGATATTAGTAATGACTTTCCCTTCAAGCATCTTGGTTGGCCAACAGTGGAAGAAGGAGAAGGGAACATGTCCTGTTCTTAAGAAGAAGGGCAGTTACAGGGGTGGCAAATGGTTCCCAAGGTGTACTTCTCCATTGACTCCTTATTCACTTCTCTATTGACTCCTTATCACCCTTTTTTAGAGTGAATAGCAGCTGCAGCTGAATTCGCATAGTACCCAAGGGCTCAGCCTATGCACACAGACCACTCATTATCACAGGCACACCAAGAGCCATGTTCTGCAGTATGACTACTCCACAGTAAGACATTAGACAATCTTAAATTCTTTTCTGGAAAATAAAAATAGAGAAAATTCAAAATACTAATCTACTTAGCTACAATTTCCCTGGATGTCTTTGTGATATCAGCTGCTTTATCGCCAGATGGATGAGAGTGATTTTCACTAACTTGAATAACAATAGCTATCTTTTATTGATGGCCATAATCATTATTCTAATCCTTGCATCAATCCTACAATATAGATACTTATTTACCTCCTTTTACAGATGACAAAACTGAGGTTCAGAGAGGTTAATTTGCACACGACCACACAGCAAATCCAAGGCAAAGCCTGAATTAGAAACATGAACTAAAAAAAAAAACAAAAAAACTTTATTCATTGTCAGAAAGATTAAGTAAACTATTTTATCAGTTTCATCTTTAAAAAAGAAAAAGAAAAATATTTCTTTAGTATTAAAGGGGAAGGATGGGGGAAATACAGTGTTTTATTAAATTAAAAAGTGGAAATAGTGTGGAACCCATTACTAGCAAAATTAAGGTCATGTTCTTACCCACTGTCTTTCTGTACCTCTGTACTATAGTGTACTGGAAAAGGAGTCGAGTTTAAGCATCAGCAATATTGGTTGTGTAAAAATAAATGAACTTACTTAGAAACTGAGAAATATTTGAAGCTATTAAAAATTGTTTACACCTACCTAGGACTGCTAAGCTTTGGCTGGAAGAAAAAAATTCGTCTCCCTCATGTAGGACCAAAGTCCCATTTGAGAACAGTTGATGTATCCTTCATTAAGGTCCACTGATTGCTCTAAAATAAAGTCAACTTGCAATGGGTTGACCGTAGGATATGTATTGCGAAAAACCTCTCAAACTCTAGCTTTCAAAAATACTCTTGCCTCTTTAATGCCAGCCTTACTGAACATTACCTCCAGATGATTGTGCATTGCTTTCTTTAGTTATTATAAGGATTAGTGCTTTCCAGTGGAAATATAATTTGAGTTACACATATAATTTTAAAATTTTTATAGTCACATCTTAAAAAGTAAAAAGATATAGGTGAAATTAATTTTAATGTTATATCTTCACTCAATATATCTAAAATATTGCCATTTCTATATGAGATCAATATAAAAGTTATCAATTAGATATACTTTTTGAAGCCTTCAAGATCTGTTATATATTTTACATTTGTAGTAACATGTCTCATTTTGATCTAGCCATGTTTCAAGTGCTCATTAGTCACATGTGGCTAGTGGCTACTATATTGGACAATACTTTTAATGTGTGTTTGCATAGAGAAATTTTATATAATTAGTGAATACTTCAGGATTCCTTTCTTTATTTGACATTATTAAAGAGATTATTATAGTTATGTAGATTTGGAAGAGAGCAATAGAAGCCTAGAAAAACTTAAAATACTAAATTTTATTTCAAAACCTATGGTTATATTTTATTGATTATATAACATATTCATTAGTTTTAGAGATTATAGAAATGCCAATTTGGTTTTTTTTCACTAATGGCAGTCATGCATTATTTTCCTTTGATAATATGAACAGCATGGATTATTAGAAAGCATTTAGTTTCAACAAAGTTCAATTTAAATATTAATCTTTGAGTATGTACCACTAACCATCTATCATCTTAGGGAAAACTAATTTGAAGACCTGTTTCTCTCCAAAACATTGCTTCAAAGAGTAAGAAAAATAAAACCTCAAATAGCTTTTCAAACTGTTGTGTCATTTACTATAAGTAATCCTGGACATGAATTTCATTATTATAAATATTCTCAAAGTTACTGGAAATTTACTGTGATGGCTTTTAATTAAAGGAATGTTATTTTGGCCTTCCAGATAAACCTCTACTTGCAAAGGGAATTTGAAAAAGATGAGAAGCCACGTGACAAGTCATATCAGGATGCAGTTTTAGAAGATATTTTTAAGAAGAATGACCATGATGGTGATGGCTTCATTTCTCCCAAGGAATACAATGTATACCAACACGATGAACTATAGCATATTTGTATTTCTACTTTTTTTAGCTATTTACTGTACTTTATGTATAAAACAATGTCACTTTTCTTCAAGTTGTATTTTCTATTTTCCCCTATGAGAAGATATTTGATCTCCCCAATACATTGATTTTGCTATAATAAATGTGAGGCTGTTTTGCAAACTTAACTTGTAGGAATGGTATGATTGTGTTTCCTGTTGCTTTATTCTGTAAACGAGAATTGTAGCACTATGAAACAGACTTCTCGGTCCCAGTGGGCATTTCTTCGCCTTTCAGGATGTAGGAGGACGTATACAGTATGTCAAAAACTGCAAGCTTTTCCCAACTTTAACCTTACCAGCATGTTAATATCCAGTTTTTTTATACTTTAAAAGTTAAAGTGCCTCATATTTTTAAAATATCCAATAAGGACCCAGGAATTAGCATTTCACTTGTTTATACATCTTATAACATTATGAAGAGGATATAAAAATCCTAGAACTGAAGAGTCTTCCTTTGGTATATGTGCAGGAAGAAAGTTGTATATCTCTGTTCCACAAAGAACACAACACAGTCTCTATACTTTTTGGTGTAAGCTTCTAGCCTTGGTTATTTTCCAGTGCAGAATGTTTAAAGATATTTGACCAAACCAAAGACTTTGCCTCTTATAGCAAGCATAGAGAGTGTACTGCCTGGCTTTTGCATTCCTTCAGACATTATTATAAATGTGCAACTCCTCTTCCCTCTTTAAACCTGTATAAGATGTCTGCCACCCCAAGCTTTTGTCTTGATAGTTTTAAATTGATGCCATGAAATTTCTTAGTTTTTGTTCCCTTTTTCTAGTTATCTCTTTCCTTATGTCACCTCATTTCCCATCATTCTTGTCATTAATGATGAATGATCATTACAAATTGGTATGCTGTCAAATTTTGATAAATGTGCCAAACAAAGGAGGATATACAGTGCCATGGCAGTTTTGTGTCATGGTCAAGTTATGATATCATATGACTTGAGAATAGTATGTAAGAGATGCTGTAGAAGATCACGTTGGAGGCCGGGCGCGGTGGCTCAAGCCTGTAATCCCAGCACTTTGGGAGGCCAAGACGGGCGGATCACGGGGTCAGGAGATCGAGACCATCCTGGCTAACACAGTGAAACCCCGTCTCTACTAAAAAAATACAAAAAAATAGCCGGGCGAGGTGGCAGGCGCCTGTAGTCCCAGCTACTCGGGAGGCTGAGGCAGGAGAATAGCGCAAACCCGGGAGGCAGAGCTTGCAGTGAGCTGAGATCCGGCCACTGCACTCCAGCCTGGGCAACAGCGCGAGACTCCCTCTCAAAAAAAAAAAAAAAAAGATCACGTTGGTACCAAAGAAAGGGCACGTGTCTATCAGAACATAGAAGATTTTGCATACTGCATGATATGGTTAGGCTTTGTGTCCACACCCAAATCTCATCTTGAATTATAATCCCCATAATTTCCATAATCCCCACATGTCAATGGAGAGACCAGGTGGAGGTAACTGAATCATAGGGGTGTTTCCCCCATGCTGTTCTCATGCAATCTTTGGTTTTATAAGTGTTTGATAGTTCCTCCTGCATTCATTCTCCCGCCTGCCACCTTGTGAAGAAGGTCCTTGCTTCCCTGCCTTCCACCAAGATTGTAAGTTTCCTGAGGCCTCCCCAGCCATGGGAAACCGTGAGTCAATTTAACCTCTTTTCTTTATCAATTACCCAGTCTAGGGCAGTTCTTTACAGCAGTGTGAAAGTGGACTACTACACTGCATATATAGGAAAGTATGGTCAGACAGTAAATAGCTCTGTTCAAAATAATTGAGTTCCCAACAAGTGAAGTTTTTTCTACCTTCTGAAACTTGCTCTTTCCAAACCATTGTTCATCCTTTAACTTCTTTACACTATCAAAAATTCTATTTAAAAATAGAGGGCTTTCAGATGAGTATGTACAAAAACAAGTGTACATAGGGGTAACACAACCATGAGATTAGTAAATAACACATGGCTAGCACATAATTTGACACCTCATAAAACAAGGATCTGTACTATCTTTTCCTTCCTCCCAATATTTAACACTTTCTCACGTGTTTAATCATTTACTCTTTCATTGCCTTCCCTCAGAAAAACCTGCTCCGTTGAAGTAAACTAAGTAACTCAATATTCTTTATTTTGGTTTGGAAGCTGTCTCCATTCTCTGTATCCATATTAAGAAGTCACCTTATAATCTAAACTTTGTAATTCTAATTTTTTTGTCCCATTATTTTTCATACAAAGTGCTTTTAAACTTGTTTTTAAAAAATGACAGATAATGCCACATGAATAGGGAGATGATTCATTCTAAAACTTGTATTTACACAATTAAAAATAAATTTCTAATCATTCTACATACAATACAGTGTACAAGTATTTCATATCGGCATGATTGCCTTCTGCCTTCATATGCATATATGTGGCATTCAGTGCCGTGACTACATTTTGAGTTCTAGAATTTTAACATTTTATTCATTATCAATTATTTTAATAAAGGTAAATAGTAATTTAGGTTGTGTATGAAAAATTCAGATTTCTCAACAGATTAAAAATATCTTTCAGAACTGAATATGTTAAATGTTTTAAACATTTTCAAAGAAACAGATGTGTCTTATCTGTCTTAACTTTACAATGACAGTATTGCGTTTTATGAAGACGAAACTCGTGAGCATACCCACATCATAGAATGGCAGCCCATTACTACTATCAGTCACCTTGTTAACTGTGTACACAAAACCCTATGTTGAGTTCAGTGTGCTTTTAATTTGATACTGCAATTAAACATTTAGGATTGCATTAAATTATTAACACATTTTTCTCATTTTACCAGACCAAAGGCAATAGTTGAAACACCATAAAGTTGCTACTTGTGCAGTCTTGTCATCCTTACATGTTGAATTGAAAGTTGATTGAAAATAAAATTGGTATTTAGAAAAATCTCTTAATTATATAAAAAGTTATCTAGGCCAGGTGCAGTGGCTCACACCTGTAATCCCAGCACTTTGGAGACCGAGGCAAGTGGATCACAAGGTCAGGAGTTCAAGACTAGCCTGGCCAAGATGGTAAAACCCCATCTCTACTAAAAATACAAAAAATTAGCCAGGGGTGGTGGCAGGCGCCAGTAATCCCAGCTACTCAGGAGGCTGAGGCAGAGAATTGCTTGAACCCAGGAGGCAAAGGTTGCAGTGAGCCAAGATCGTGCCACTGTACTCCAGCCTGGGCAACAGAGCAAGGCTCTGTCTTAAAAAACAAAAAAAAAAGTTATCTAAAATGATAGACTACATCCCAAAAATGATTCTAAAGTGACTGGCAAGATTATGAAAGAACATCTCTATTCTGAATGTTACATGTGAATCTTTTTTGATATAAATAGTGTTATTAATTTTCATGACAACTTAAGAAACAGACACTACTGTCATCATCACTACTTTATAGATAGGGAAAATGATACCCAGACAGGTTAATTTCTTTCTGTTTTTCTCATTTTAATTTAACTCATCAAACCAAACCTAGATAATTTAGGGAAGGTTTGTGGCACAACTGCACCTACAACACCAACATGGTATATTCATTTTTCATTTTATTTCATCCTCTTGTGCCAAATATCAAAACAAGGAACTGCATGAAGTCTCACATACTTCTGACCATCAACAGAACACTGAAAGCACCCATAAACTGTCTCCCTTTTGAAGTTCCCCATTCCACAGAGTATGCACGGCCCTTTGGGAATGTTGTGATTAAGTAAGTTAACTCGAATATGGGTCCCTTCTTTGAGTGAAATATCAGTCATGCTGAGAGGTTTGTCATAGTAGTCAGAAAAAAGATCATCCAAGTAAAGCTGTGAACGAGAAATTACATCCATCACTCTTCTATCTAAAAAGACAAAAACAGAACAGAAATGTGTTAGAAGTGAAAATGAAAAATACATAATGCAAATAGCATTAATAAATATGTGAATCCACTAGTCATGAAATAATTTGGCTTTTCTTTTTTTTTTTTCTGGCTCTATCACCCAAGCTAGAGGGCAGTGGCGCAATCTCCACTTACTACAACCTCCGCCTCTCGGGCTCAAGTGATCCTCCTACCTCAGCCTCTCAAGTAGCGGGGACTACAGATGCACACCACCACAACCAACTAATTTTTTTTTCTTTTATATGCTTTGTACAGATGGGGTTTTGTCACATTGCCCAAGCTGGTTTCAAACTTCTGAGCACTAGCAATCTGCCTGCCCTGGCCTCCCAAAGTGCTGGGATTATAGGTATGAGCCACTGTACCAGCCAGGCTTTTAAATTCAAATTTTTCCTTAACAGATGGGATTACTGAATAGAAAACCTCATGCATTAAGCCAGGAAAGAAAAAAAAGACATTCACAATGGACATACTTCTTTCAAATAGGATATTTCTCAACCTGTACAGCAGTGCAAATGTTGCCGTTTCTTCCCTTTCAAATCCTCCTTTTGACACTGAAGTGACACAAAGGTCTACAAAAAAAATTGTTAGAAGATGTAATAACTTGAATAATTCATGTTTTATTGTTTGATGGGGTGATGAATTCTGGTACAAACCATTCATTGTATTTTTTAAAAAGTTAACTTTTACATACTTTTGGAAAAGGTAACATTCACATGGTACAAAATTCATACAAAAAGGAGATACAGCGACAAATAAGTCTCTGGTCCACCCTGTATCCAGCCACAGTCTTCTACCTCAGGGGCTCATACTCCAGAAATACTCCATATATTTTACAAGCATAAAGAAAGATGTATGTATACATGTATATGTATAAAATTATTTATGCCCAAATAGTTACATATTATACTCAGCTCTTTAAAAATATCCATTAAAAGTATTATATTCTTATTGGCTTCATAGTATTCTCTTGTAAGGATGCACCATTATTTAGTCTCCTTAAAGTTGTTTCCAATCTCTTGTTATTGAGGACTGAATATACTTGCACTCATATCATTTCATATATGTGTAAATATATCTGTAGGATAAATTCCTAGAAGTGGAAGTCCAAATTATACGTATATTTTAAATTCTTGTGGATATATCAGTCCATTTACATTCCTCCCAACCATCAATAAAACTGTAAAAACTTAAAATTTACTTAATAAGACCTAGTATTTGGAAGCGTAATAGGGTG